TTTGAACTTTTTGGTAAGAATACTTCTAAATGGTGTATTATTTCAGCAGGAGGCACGTGATGCCCCATGCTCTCCCTGTGGGATATTAACAGCTTAGATCCATGACTTCATTGTTGCAAAATGGGGATATTCCAATTCTGTGTTCCTTCTTTGGCAATTGGAATACTATAAAAAGAAACTCCCTTGTGTTGGTGTGATAAAATTGCATAGAAATAAACATGCATACAAACAGGAGTACATGTAAAACTGGTGTGGTTTGAACAAGTTTGGTCTATGGATTGTACCAGTGTCAAGTTCCTGATTATGGTATTGTTCTATATCTGTGCGAGATGTTACCACTGGGGGAAAGTGAGTGCAGGGTACATGGGACTTTTGGTACTATTTTTAAAAATTGATTTGAGAGAAACATCGATCAGTTGCCTCCTGCCTGGGGACTGAACCCACAACTTGAGTACATGCCCTGACCGAGAATCAAACCCGTGACCTTTCTGTGCATGGGGCCACACTCCAACCGAGCCACAGAGGCCAGAGGCTTTCTGTACTATTGTTTTGCAACTTCCTGTAAACCTATGCCTTTACGTTAAAGAAACCTCCCTTATTTACTATTTGACTGCCAGTGGTATGAGAAACGCAGGACAAATGCTTAATTCTTTCCCTTTATTCTTACTTAGAATAATGAGTTGATGCCTTTGAATCCCCCGAGTGACACATTTTTAATCATTATTAACCGGCTGATTTCAGTATATTTTGTGATTCAGTGATTATTGTTAATGACCTTATTCCCATCTTTAGCCAGTAAGAACCTCTCCAAGCTGGCTCCTGAGTCCTGACATGACCCTGAAATCTTTTATTGCTTCCTCACTATCTGGTATGACAAGGGGCTACAGGTTCAGCCTGCACACATCCTACCCAAGTCCTGGAATCAGATGTTTCTTCTGAGTCCTGGGTCCTTTCACTGAAATGACATTTGGAGACCCTCGTCTGAGCACTCAGGGTGCTGATTGCCACTGGGTTTGTCACTGTTTCTAGGTATTTTCAATGGGCAGAGGTAGGAACAGCTTGACATTTAAAAAATGACCTATAAGTTCATACTTACACTTTAAATTAAAATTCAGGACCATGGAGTTTTCACTTAACCTCATTTGTCTTTTTTCTCTCAATGCTGAGAATCCTGGTTCTCAAGGACTCCAGGGAAGCCACTACTGATTTTGATTTTGTCACCCACGACTAAAGGTAATCCTGACTGATGTGACGGTGTCCTGGGCCTGGGATGGCCCTTGGTGAGTGTCTGTTGTTCACCAGAGCTACAGAGAAGGCATGAGGTCAGAGAGATTGCGGACCGTTTCTGAGTTCGCACATATGATGAACTGGTTGCTCAATGCTTTATTAGGAAGTGAAACATCAGGGATACAGGTGAAGCCCGGGTGGGAGAAATGTTGTTTAAATGCAGTTACCTTCCCTCCCTGACCCTAGAGGGGCCCAGGGTCCTGGTGTATATTCCAGCCTTTCTTCACGCTTTCCCTACACTTGTCCATATCCCTAAGCACCACTGTTTCACAACATTGTTCTGCATGGTTTTATATGTATTTCCTATACTGTATTTGTCTGCAGCTCACTTTACTCTCTTCCTTCAACATTAAGATTTATCCATGTTGATATGTTCGTTCTCGTTTCGTCCATCCATCCATCCATTCTCACTGCTGTATAGTATTCCACTGCATTACTGTGTCAGTTTATCCATTCTCCTAGTGATAGTCATTTAGCTTGTGTACATCTTGTTATTACAGATATTTTTGTAGGTGTCTCCTGGTGCACAAGTGGGTAAGAATTTCTCTAGGCCTGGCTGGTGTGGCTCAGCTGGTTGGAGGTCATCCCGCACACTGAACAGTGGTGGGTTTGATTCCTGGTCAGGACACGTACCTAGTTTGCAGGTTCAATCTGCGATCTGGGTGTGTATGGGAGGCAACCGATTGATGCTTCTCTTTCACACCAATGTCTCTCTCTCCCTATCCTTTCCTGTCTCTAAAATAAATTAAAAAAAAGAAAAAGAATTTCTCTAGGGCAGGCCAGGGGTGGGTAAACTTTTTATTGGGAGCTAAGAGGCCAAAAAAAAGTACATACTTATATAATAAGAGAAAACAATTTTCCATTTTTATTTAAAAATTCAAGGCTTTTTAATGGACACTGAAATTTGAATTTCATATAATTGTCATGTCATGAAATATTATCCCTTTGAATTTTTTCCCCCCAAACCATTTGAAACTGCTGTGTCAAAGCATGGCGACACTTCCAGCATTTTGATAGGTGTCCCCACATTGTCCTCCAAAAAGACTGAACCAGCTGGCCCTCCCAACAACAAGTAGGAGCTCACTTTGCCACAGTGTAAACCAACTACATTTTTGTCGCCCTTTTTTGGTAAGCAAAGCCTTATTTTCTTCCCCATTTGCATCAGGGCATCATCTGAAAACTGCCTGTGTGTGCAGAGGGCTCCTAGTCCCTCTGTCCCCAGGACCAGATGCTCCCATCGCTGACCCATCTTTCCCCCCACAGTCCGAAGCCTCATCAAGAAGGGCAGCAAACCATTTTTCAGGAACCGGGACTTAAATGCCTCTCACAGCTTACTTGGGGGAGGACAGAAGAATCAGCCTGACATTCCCAGCAGTCTACAGACAAATAAAAAAGCAGTACTTAAAAGAATCCTTCATTTCACATAGAAAAGTACTTTAAAAAATACAAGATCCTCCCTTGGCTGGGTGGCTCGGTTGGAGCATCAACCCAATATACCAAAGTTGTGGGTTTGATCCCTGGTCAGGGCACATACAGGAGTCAATCAGTGATGCATGAATGTATGGAACAACAGATCGATTCTCTCTTAAAATCAATAAAAACGACAAAACAAGATTCTGATTCACCTTGAGGACAAATCAAGCTTTGCAGGAGCTGTATTTGGAGAAAACATTAAAGCCTTTGGTAAGCCAGGAACCTCACAGCTGTCCAGCAAGTAAGGAGACTTCCATGGCCCTTGTGCCCCTTGTTCCTCAGAGGAGGGCAGGAGCTGTGAGAAGTGAGTGCCAGGAACATGCTAATAGGCTCTTCATGTGGCTGCTGGCCCACAGGTGACCGGCATAGCCTCATCCAATCACAGGGTCCCCGAGGTTGCATTCGAGCAGGCAGCTCTCTCACCCTGACATCAGGCAGGTTCTGCAGGGCAGCCTGGGAGGACACCAACTCCCAGTAAGAAAGGCTAAGTATTTTTCCCTCTGGGATAATGCTGGCAGGGGTGGGAACGGGTGAAAAACAGGGTGGGCCAGTAGGATGGTTGGATCAGGGGAAATTGGAAAGTCTGCCTTCTTTTGTCACATGGCCAGTGAAGTCCCTGAATATCTCACTCCAGTCCTGGCCGGTGTGGCACAGTTGGCTAGAGTGTCGTCCTGTGCACCAAAGGGTTTCAGGTTCAATTCTCTCTCTCCCCCTCACCCTTCCTTTCTCTCTAGAATTAACAAAAAACATATCCTCAGATGAGGATTCAAAAAAACTAACTCCATTTGTGTGAGAAATAGCTGGAGCCAAATGGAAGGGAGTGTGGCTACTTTTTCCTTTTATGCTTTTACTCTGACTGGTGTTTTCATTGAAAACATATAGCCTAGGGCCTTGGAGACTGGGCTCCTAGTAAAACAACCTCTTAATGATTCTGGCTGCTGTATCAGGAACGTTTCAGTTTTGGTTTCCTATTTCCCAACCAGCAGGAAAAACACGTGCCTGCATTCTAGAGGGAATGGGGGAAGGATCAAGGGGACCTCTTCTCTTTTTTTGCACTTAAAGCTCCAGTCAATGGCAGAGCATTGCTGCTGAGATTCCTTCTCACACCTGAACCAGGGACCACTTCTAAGACCAGATCTACCCCAAGCCATGCCCGTAACTTGACAGCCATGACTTGCTGAGGAGAAGCTGCCCACCACCCTGCCCACCCTGGCTCTCCCCATCAAAGCAGAAGTGGGATCCTATCTGTGTCCACCCCGCTGAGAACTTTGCCAAATGTCTGGACCTCTGTGGGAATGTGGAACTGAGACCTCATGAGGCCAAGTCTTGGGGCTGGCACCTCCGAAGTGGGTTTTAAGAAGAGAAGGATCCCCATTCACCAATCTTTCCGCATTCCACTCTCACAAAGGAATCTGCAGGCAAATCACAGCCTGTCTGGGCTGACTTGGGGTACTCAGGGGCTGCTAACATTCTGGGCCAGGCCCTGCTCCTTGGCCTCATAACAAGAGCCTGGCCAACATACCCACTGTGAAAAGAGGTGGCTGGCCTGGGGATGGGAGGGTCTCAGTTCTGCCTCTGGGCTGAGTGTCTGAGCATCACACTAAGGAACTGAGCCACCTTCTGCCTGGCCCTGGCCCAGGCCAGCCCAAACTTGATCTCTGAGGCCCAGGAAAAGCCAGCTCCTTTCCCTGTAAGGCCTCACATCCTGAGCCTCCCATGGGTCCTGCAACGACAGGGCTGCAGAGGAACTGAATTCTGGGGTGTGGGTCTTGCTGCCAGGGCCCCCCAGCTCCCCAGGAGAGGCATGAGTTCCCTGGCTAAACCGCCAGCTTCCCCAAAGGCACTCACTGACTTCACAGCCTTCACCTCCCTCTAAAGTATTGTCCTCTCTACGTGCTATATATAGCTCTTCTGCCCATGGCTAGACCTAAAATAAAATAGATATTTGAGAAGTTAAGAGTTATGCTGCATTTTAAAAATCTAGGCATTTATTACTCCAAATGATAGAATTATTAGGTATGCTAAAGGTAGACAGCAGCAATTTTTTCTCTCTTTTTTTAATCCTCTCTCACAGATACTTTTTCAACATTGAGAGTAGAAGGGGGGGAGAGAGAGAAATATTGATGTAAGAGAGATGCACAGATTGGTTGCCTCCTACACATGCCCCCACCGGAGCTGGGGATCAAACCTGCAAGCCAGGTATGTACCCTTGACTGGGAACTGAACCCGAAACAGGTCCTTGGGCCAACGCTCTAACCACTGAGCAAACTGGCCAGGGCAACAGCAGCAATTTTTGATTCTCAGGCAGACATTTGAAAAATCCATCAGAAAAATACCTCTCTATGGGCTTTTGCCCGTCCCAAAGGTGATTAGCCAGATTGTTCAGGAACATGGGTTACTCTTTTCCATGGGAATGCTCTCCCAGGCTAAACCCTCACTTGGCCAGCAGGGGGCAGAGGAGGCCCATGGGAGATCCAGGCCAGGGCTGATACCTGCGAGAAAAGGTGCCCCCTGCCCCATAGCCAAGCCTTGGGGACCTTCCACTAAGTCCCCCACATGCTTCTCTACCACAGTGTCATTTTCAGGTCTCAGCTAAAAGTGGGAGGTCAGGCAGGACCTGGTGACAAGGGGCAGTCCGAATTGAAAAGAACCTGTTTTCATTGCTTACTCTATGAACTAAAAAAATAAATAATTTTTTTTTTTTTCTGGCAAGCTATTGAGTTTGCAATGCAACTTCCACCTCTGAGATCAGACCTTGAGTTTTAGGGCAGAAAGTAAATTACTTGTGAGTTGGGGATGAGAGAACAAACTGGTCCCAGATATCTGTGTACCCCTCACCTCATATGGACAAAGGTTCCTCCCTCTTTGACCTCATATTTTTCTACTAAAAGGAAATAGGAAATGATGAGACCAGAATTATGCACACATTACTCCTCCAGTGGGGGTACCAGGTGGAGTAAAAGAATCCTGTTTGGCTCAAATTATTGGGTTAAGGTGGGAGATTACAAAAACAAAAATAATCATATTTTAGCTCTACCAAGTACAAATTTACTTTTCATGCATAAAAAGGAAACCACGTGCTTCCTGCCTGACTGGCCTTAACACTTACACTTGGGAAAGGGGAAAGGGAAAAGGTTAGGGAGGGGACTGGCTCTGTGGGCTGGACACAAGTCCTAAATGGTCCCAAGGTCAGTCCTTCTTGACATCCAGAGCCACGCTGCCTGAGGCAGAAGAGATGGACACGTATTTGCTGCCAGCCAGGGTCCATGCTGGTCCACTGGGTCCCCACAGAGAACCAAGGACATGCACATGATGAACTGAATCACCCAGAGGGTGCCAAGTCCCAGCTCAAGCTGGGACCCTGACCACACATGGGAATTGCCAAAATAGCCTGTAGATGGGCAAAGGCAAGCAGGTACAAGGCTTGTTAAAGGGCAGGAGAGGAGTGAATGTGAGTCAGTAGCTCTATTTCATCTGGACACGATTGGCAGCTCCTTGCCCTCAGATGGCTCAGGGGCTGGGCCTGTGGAGTCAGCAGGGTGTCTGCGTGAGAGAGTACAAGCACTCTGTGAACCAAATGGGTCCTGGGGATACAGTGGCTGCTTGGGGATTGCAGGTGAGGATCAGATGCATGTAGCTACAGGCCACCGGAGTCCTGGGGAGGGATGGCAGGCTCTGGCCCCCCGTCTTTGTACTTGGGTGAGTTTGGACCCTGGCATGGGGGACAAGTGGGACCCAAAACAGTGGAGAATTGGGAAAGAGGAAATGCTGAATAGCAATGAAGGTGGCAGCGGGTAAATTGTGGGCAGACCCTGTGGAGCCCAGGAAAAGGGGCCTTTGGACACACAAGGACACCAAGTAGGGAATCAAGGTGAGGGAGGCAACTACTAGGCCCTCACCACTTTGTTAAAGTGCACGAATTTAAACGAAATTCAAACAGCAGTTGCTGACCCACCTAAGCACTGTACCTATACCTTTTTCCTCTAGAGGGTGCTCTAACACCACAGAATAGGCTCATTCACCCCGCAAAATCCAGGGATGCCGCTTCCAAAGGGGCTCAAAGAAGAGTCTGTGCCTGTGTGCTGGTCACCAGTGTAAACATTCACAGTATTCCCAGAGAAGGCAGTGGCCACCTGCCACCCAGGAAGACAGCCCGTGAGGTGCCAATCAGAGGTAAAGAAGAAAAGGTCACCGCGTTTTTCTTTCTCAGGGTGTGCAAGCAACATCACAAAGGGGAGTGTGAGGTTTTCAAGACTTCTGGGCCTGCCACTTAGGTCAGAATTGCTGCTGCTGAGACCCAAGGCACCTTGATGACGATAAGGAAACTGGCAGTTGGCTTCTCACCCTGCCCACCCTGGGGTCACGATGATGGCATTGATGATGGCATTAGCTGGGAATGGCAGAAACTGCAAACCAGTGCTCCGTTGAAGACACCCAGCCACGGCAGCTTCCACAGTAGGATTGCTCCTCTCAGGCACCTTGGCTGGACAGGTGACTGCTTTGGCTGAGGAAGCAAAAGGAAACTTTTACCTGGACAGGTGTTCCCTCTAATCTGCGGGCTGGGAGACGCTGCGAGCAGAGGCCCGGCTCAGGACTGGGGAGATGACATGTTTCAAAGGAGCCAGCTGGCCTGGACAGTTCGGGTTAAGGAGGCAGCGCCTTGGCTTCCCCCTACTTTCATCTTCCCCGAAGAGGCAGCCGAGTGCACATGCTCCTGGGGTCCTCGCCGGGCGCGCATCCTGGGCCGTGGGAAGGCCCTGCTCCATCACAGCAGCTCCTGCTCATCGTCCTCAGAGCCAGAGGGGCCCTGGCGCACCTCCTCGTACCACTTGTTGGTGAGGGTTTTCATCTGGATGCGCCCGTGGTGGAGGTCCTGCAGCAGAAGACACAACCAAGCCAGTGGGTCAGGGTCAGGGTCAGGGTCAGGGTCAAGGAAGGGAGAGGAGCTGCTTTGTACCTTGTGCAGGGGATGGTGGGCAGGGTGCATGGCCACGGGCAATTTCAAAGTGTTAACTGACTAACTCATCTGGGATTCGTCTTTGTGGGGGTGGAGATAACAGGAGGTCTCACTCAGGAACAGGAGTAGTAGGAGGCAGGGTGGCATGATGTTGAAAACAGTGGCTCTGGAATCAGACACACTTGGGCTCTACTCCCAGCTTTGCCTCACACTGGCTGTGTGACCTCAGGGGGCTACCTTACCTCTCTGGGTGGGCCTTAGCCTCCCTAGCTGTCAAGCGAGATGACAGCTGCATCTGTTGCATGGGTTGGGAGAATGAACTGAAGCAATCGTGAACGCCATTCTTGTAGTAAGAGCTCACATATAGCATCGTGACTACCGTAGGAGGGAAAAAGGGCTTGGCAACAAAGAGGGGCAGCAGCCAGAGGAATCCCACCCCACCTGAAGGCTGCATGGGGCAGGATGACTGGTTCAGCAAAGCAGGCCCAAGCTGCCCCCATGAGACTGCCTCACAGACTGTCACCCAGAGGCCAGCAGTGGTGGAAGGATGGAATAAGAGCCTAAGCCTTGGGACACTGCCTGCAGCCATGGCATGTCTGAAATTCCTCGGCTCAGATTCAGTAGCTGATCCATGTCCCGAGTCTTATCATCCAGGAAAAGCAAACTGTGTTAACATGTCTATTATTAAACTAGCACTAAATCCGGCAGCAAAGGAAAAACAGCAGATGCGATCCTGGGAAGGAGAGCCGAGCGGGAGGAGGCAGCCTGGCTGCCTCTCCCCAGTACAGCATGTAGCCCTTCCCTGCAGCCCCCCTCACCACTCTTGGCCACTGCAGGTTCTAAGAGAGGAAGGCAAGGGACTCCTGGCTTGTGGCACTGGCCCATGTCCCACCTCCTGGGTCAATCGCCGTGTGAAGAAGGGGTTCAGATACTTGACATCCAACCACAGGAAGCCTTTGAGGTCCTGCCGCCTGATGTAGTGGGCTTCATACTCCTCCTCGGTGAGCTCTGACAAGTGCTCCGACTCCACTGTGTTGCCCTGTGGGGGAAGGAAGGCAGCTGAGAGTCAGTAGATAAGCCAGCATCTTCCTGGAAGCCCCCACACTATCCAGCCTACCTAGCAGCTCTTCGCCCCTAGACACCAGTGTCCCCAACCCCAACTGCACTTTCAAATCAATGCAGTATGTCTGTGGGTAGCAAAGGGCTTCCTGGGAGCCTGTGTAGGGAGGCAGGAAGGTTTGTAAAAACATGATGGATGCCCAGGAATAAATCAGAATTGTGAATAAATCAGAAGTTCTGGGTTGGGGGCTAGGCTTGGTTTGTAAGATTCCAGATTTTAATGTGCAGGTCAGTACCAAGGAGGGGACACAGACACAATCCCCACGGGAACCAGAGAGGAATGAAGAGAATGACTGACTGCAGGTGGTGCAGCAGGTCTGGAAGGCACATAGGTCTCAGGTCCACTGGATTGTCTCAGCTCCACTCCATGCCTCTGCAGAGCCAACCATACGGGATGCGAATACACTGTTTGCTGCTTTGCTAGAGGAGCTGCTCTCTAGCCATAGTTAACTAACTGGGTCTCCACGGGGGAGCCCCTGCAGCCAGTGCAGGTTTGGAGGGCTTGTGAATCCACAAAATGCTGGACATACTTACAAAGTCCTGATTCAGGAGGTCTGGGATGGGGCCCAAGAATTTGTATTCCTAACAATTTCCCAGTGATGCTGCTGGTCCAGAAGCCCCACCTAGGGGACCATTGATGGAGACTGTGGCACTTAAGACTGCAGGCTCTGGAGTCTGTGACCTTGGCTGTGTGATTTGGCCTCTGTGTGCCTCAGTGCTGTCATCTGCAAAATGGGCATAATGAGAGCCTCTGCTTCCTGCAGGTTATAGGCGACCTGAGACAGTCCAAGGAGACTCAAGCATACCTATACCACAGGACATTCCTTGAACAGCATGTGCTTTCTCTAAGCAAACATCTTGCTTCTACTAGAGCCCAAGGGTGGTTGGTTCACCAAGTGTGGCTGCAGGATCAGCACCTGACAGCCTGTTAGAAATGCAAATTCTTTCTAGTCTCACCCCAGACCTGTAGGACTCTGGAGCCCTTCATGGATTCTGATACCCACTGAAAGGTTTCAGAACCTATACTAGAGCTTTTATTAAAAACAAAGTTGGACCCTGGCCAGTCTGACTCAGTGGTTAGAGCGCTGGCCCGTGGATTAAAGGGTCTTGCATTTGATTCCCTATCGAGGGCACATACTTCGGTTGTAGGCTCAATCCCTGGCCCCAGTCAGGGTGTGTGCAGGAGGCAACCAACTAATGTGTCTCTCTCACATCAATGTTTCTCTTCCCCCCACTCTCTCTAAAAAATCAATGGGGAAAAAATATATCCTCGAGTGAGAATTAATAACAGCAACAAAAAAACAAAGTTGGGCCCTAGCCTGGTGGCTCAGTTGGTTGGAGCATTGTTCCGTACACCAAAAAGAGGTTGCAGGTTCGATTCCTCGTCAGTGCATACCTAGGTTGCAGGTTCAACCTAGGGTTGGGGTGCACACAGAGCCAACTGATTGATGTTTCTCTCTCACACTGATGCTTCTCTCTCTCCCTTCCTCTCTCTCTCAAATCAATAAACATATCCTCCAGTAAGGATTAAAAAAACACAACAAAGTTGGTTGGTAGGGATGGGGGAGAAGGGCGGTCGAGAGCTGGACGGTGGAGGCAGCCCAGCATGAGGTCCTCTGAAGGTTCCTTTCCAGCAGCGCAGAGACAAGAGGCCAAGATCTGCCCAGACCTGAACTTTCAGTGTGAGAAGTGGGTACATCCCCTTTCTCTGTCTCCTGGTTGAGGACTTCTGTGCCATCCATGACTAATTAAAGTTACTGATGGCCTCAAATAAGGCAACTGGGAAAAGATGAACCTCTGGAAATGCATGTGTGTGGGGAGGTGGGTGCAGAAAGGTGGGATGAGAGGCCAGGGCGGCCTCTGCTCCTGTCAGTCTAGCTCAGCACATGGGGCTTGCTGGGGACACAGGGCAGCGAAGGCCTGACTACATTTGACTTGGGAGGGGTGCCCACTGGCAGGAGCAGCTGCTGGGCAGGAGGGTGGCTTGGTGGAACAGAGGTGGGCAGAGGTATTGGGGCCTCAGGCTCTGGGTCCTGAGCTCCTCAGCCCCAAATCAGGTCCTTGTCTGGTCTCGGTGGAGGGCACCTCTCTCATGGTCCTCAAAGCCACTGTAAGCACCTACCCCCACTCAGGCCCCAAAAGGAGGAGTTCAGTAACGGGGAATGATGGGATTTTGAAACCTTCCAGTCCTGGGCCCCGATGGGATGAGCGGTTACTGGCAGGGGAGGAACGTTGCTGGGAGAGTCTGATACAGGTCCACGCTCCCCCTCCATGACCTCCATGGCTGCACCAGGCAATGAGGCTGGCAGACAAGCAGCCCCAAAGAGCCACACTTCAGAACCTTAGTTCAATCTCATCAGGTCGGGCAGCTGCATGTGCGGAGGTGCTGAGCATCCTCAAATAGTTCTCATTTCCCCATTTCCTGGCAGTTAGCAGGGACCAACCCTCTGCCCCGCCGCAGGCCCACCAAGCACTAACCATCTTCTCCGTCTTGCTAAGGTTGACATCCTTCTTGTTCCGGCGACGTGCCTTGGTGTCCTCAATGTCCATGAGGCGGATGAGGGGCATGGTGCTGCCGCCCAGCAGCAGGATGGTGAAGAGCACGATGATGATCGTGGTGGTGCCGATGAGCTGCCGCTTCTCCATGGGCTCGAGGTCCAGGTGCAGGCTCAGGGCATAGGGGATGGCGCCCCGCAGGCCTGGAGGGGCAGCGAAGGGAGTGAGATGGAGGGAGGTGAAGGAGCAGCATCCTGACCCAGTTCTCTGGGGACAGCCCAGCATGAGAGGAAAACATCCTAACAAACCCTGCCAGAAAGCACAAACTCATCCTATGAGGCTCTGAGGTGTGAGAAAAACAGTCCACAGAGAAGTGGGGCCCAGGTGGAGGCTCACAGGGTGCTTGAGCAGATCAAATGAGGTACCTGTCCAGGCTATGAAGCTCTGTGTGAGTGTGTGTGTGTGTGTGTGTGTGTGTGTGTACTTATCAAGCCCAACACTCACATTTTAGAAAAACGACAGCTAGTGCAGACCAACTCCTCCCTGTGTGTGGGCCAGGCCCTGTGCTAGGTGCTCTGCATGCACGATTTCATTTGATATTCACAGGACACCCTGTACAGCAGGTCCTATTACTCTATACAATCTACAGATGAGGAATCGAGACAGAACAGTGTCCTCCCAGGGCCATACAGCTTTACAGGCAACAGCACAGAGTGCAATCTGTCCAGTGCCCCTGCTGACAAGCTTGGCAACCTTTATTATTTTGGGCCGGTGAGGCACACTTGTTTTCAAAGGGCTCCAGCCTGTGTGCCCTCTGCATGGTGTGTGCCTTTGTAAGAGGTATCTTCCTTTCACTGTTCATTCGAGGCTGGACTTACCACTAAACCACATGATGAACATCATCTTTGGTGTGATTTTATGATCTCGGAAGAAATTCAGAAGGTAGGAAAGAGGGAAAATATTCACCGCTCTGCCAAACAGTACAAGCACCTGTTAATTGCAACAAACCAAGTCTTAGACAGAACCTCTGGTTCTTCAAGTTGAAGCTTGTTGAAGCCCCCACAGGCCTTGTAGCACATCCACTATAAACACAGCAATCCCCGTGGTTATAAAGGGTGTGAGTAACACATGCTAGTTAGAAACTCGGCTGGGGTGTGTTGTTTCCGCTGCCTGGTTTGTGTGTCTGGATTGGATAATGCTCTGTACATTCACCTTAGTAGGGGGAGAGAGGACTAGCAGGGTGTCAGCGATGGCTGCAGCAATGACAGAACAGGACCGAATGCCAAGAGGCCACGCAGAAGTACCCAGAGATTAATTAATTTAAGAGCAATCTAACTCCTCCAAAGGTGCTCCACCATGGGACAGGGCTGTGCTAATCACTCCCCATGGGCTAGCTCTGGAGGGACAGACAAGGTGTCCCTGCTTCTCCCATGGGGACCCTACTCCTCAGGCAAAGGAGGAAAGACTGAGAAGGGCTGACCCATCCACATAAACACTGTTCTCCAAGCATGAGGAGTGCACAGGCAGGTTCTAAAAGGAGGTCACACAACCCAGCCAGCTGCTTGCCAAAGGCATGTTGGTCTTAACAAAATACAGCTTTATGTGAAGTTTAAATCATATGTGGATACTTAACAAAATATAGCTTTATGTAGTTTAAATCTTATCTGAGTGGATAATTAGAACTACTTATTAATTTACCTATTTTTTTAATCTCGAAAAGGGTAATATCCACACATACATTCTGTAGGCTCTAAGTTTATCCTTTTAACCAGCACGAGCTGAGTGTGTGCTTTGGAGCATGTGCCTTGGATAGTCAAGTTAATAATGGCTCCCAATCATCTAACATTTATATGCCAGACAATGTGCTAAGCATTTTATATGTATTAGCTTGTTAAATTTAGGTCCCTGCAGTGGTCTTATGAAAGAGGTAGTACCGTCTCCATTTTGGAGACAAGGAAATGGAGACAAAGAGAGGTTAAGTAACTGGCCCAAGATGTCCCAGGCAGGAAGTGGTGGAGCCAAATCTCAAACCTGGTTCAGTACCAAAGCCCATGCCCTTGACCACTAAGCCAGTGTAAGGTAATCCATCCAAAGAGCACAGGCTGCCCCCAGAGTGGCAGGGCCAGCCCATGTGCTCAGGGGAAACCAAGTCTCCATGCCAGGGCATCTTCTCATTCTTTCTCCTCCCAGCCCATGGCCAACACAGTCACTTCCGTTTCAGCCCCTGGAATCCAATCTCCCATTTGCATTTCAGGTTTCTGACACTTGCATTTCAGGTTTCACCAAGAGTGACCCCTTTCACCCAGTGATCACACTAAAGGCTATTATACTTTTTGAAAAGACTTGCTGCTGTCCTCTTGTCCTGAAACTGGAGTTTGGAGGACAGATAACAGTGACAAAAGCCAGGCGCTCTTGCTGACTGAGAGGTGAAAGCACCCAGGTTGCACGGAGAAACGTCTTTTTCTTTAGGGCCCCTTTCACTTCTCTGTGTCTCAGTTTCCCCATAGGCCAAACAGGTAGGCCTTCCTAGTTTGCACATGGTAGATGACTGTGCAAAATAAAACTTTGCCTCTCAATAGCTGTGTTTATTAAGTGGAGTTGGTAATAATAGGAGGAGTTATGATAATTCAACAAGATATATTTCTTAAATGCCTTAAAGTAACATAGGATCTAAAAAGACAACAAAGAGATCAAATTAGGGATTGGAGTATGAATCAGCTGGAGAGTTGACAGGCGATGAACTCACTATGAGGGAACAGAGACACAAGGAGGAACACAGACAAGCAACCTGGGGACACCAGGCTAAATGCCCAAACTGTTAGAAGCCACTCATGTCACTTTGATCAGATGCCTGAGAGAGCTGGACCTTTCTTTCTTTCTTTTTTTAATATATCTCTATTGATTGCAGAGAGAGGAAGCGAGAGGGAGAGAGAGAAACATCAATGATGAGAGAGAGTCGTTGATCGGCTGCCTCCTGCACGCCTCCCACTGGGGATTAAGCCCGAAACCTGGGCATGTGCCCTGACCGGGAATTAAACCGCAATCTTCTGGATCACAGGTCAATGTTCAACTGCCCAGCCACACGGGCCAGACTGGACCTTCCTTTTAAATGCTAAACTTTTACTTTCCCCCACAAGGATTTGATTCTCCTGCAAATGGTTAAGCTTCTCCTTTCCTTTTTTAGAGATGTATTTTAATTTATCTCCTACTGCCACCCCCAGTCCAATTATAACAGTTTCTCAAACCTCCTTGATGGTAAGAATCACCTGTGATGAGTCCCCTGGATGAATCTTCAGAGGAGCTAAGGGCCTGGAAATCTTTACACAAGTGTCCAAGGTCATGTTTATGAATGCACACATTGGAAGAGAACCACAGTGAGAAACGCATGCATTATAAATTATCCAGAAAACAGAGAAAAGAAAGAGAATCATCCTCAGTTCTACAAGCACTGGGAACATTTGGTGAAATTTTCTTTACATATTTTCTTTTTTCTATGCATGTTTTTTACATGGTTATGCTCAATTACATATTCAATTTTGAAATCTGCTTTTACCACCTAAGATAAAAACACATAAAATGTAGTTATAAAAGAAGACCATATCATTCAAGGCCACTTAAAATTTTAAAAGAAGCAAAAATCCTTTTCTGGGGATATTCATTCACTTAATTCCATCTCTTTATTGTATGTTTGTGATTTTTTTTAACAAAAGAAACTTAAACATAAGAGAGTCAATGTAGCTGTTGACTTTGAATAGTTAACAGTTACATAAATGAATCCAGAACATGTGGTCGTTGAGCTATGAATAAGCAATTAAATAAAAAACAAGTAAAATACTTACTATGCACCAGACGACAAAGGAAATTTCAAACTTGTGAGGGAAACTAAAAATGGACAGGCCAAGAAATGCAAACACACATGTTTCTGAAACAAACCAAAGAATGGATTATTCAGCCCCAACTATTTCTTCCAATACAGTACTAAATTGTTAAGCAAGCAAACATTCACAAGTCAATCCAATAGAACACTTTGCTTATTTTCTGGAACATCCTGCAACCAATACCTGGTGAAACTAGTACTATGATTCTCTCATTCTTTTCTATCCCAGGAGCAACATGTGCTTGCTATTCCGGATCTAATTTAATGAGGCAACCGTCAAACACTCATGCAAATAAATACTCAGTCCATTTGCTGAACGCTGTGATTAGCAAGGATCCCAACTGCCGGCAAAGCGGCAAAAATTCAGAGCCAAAGGCTGCAGATGCCACCTGACTAGTGTGAAAGGGCCCTTTGTTACCTTCCTTGCCAGAGCGGATGAAGCTAAATGATTGACCTCACTTATTTAATACCACCCCAGGTTTAGAAGATGACTCACACCCTGCAGGATTTGCAGGAAGGGTACATTTCCAGCTCTGGCTCCACTCCACAAGTCAAAAAGAGCCCGACATTTAAGCTCCTTGTACATGCGGTTGCTGGGTATTTTAAGGAAAAGCACCTTATACATTTCCAGCACTAGGCTCCCTGCTTAAACTGTGATGCCCCCCAGAACAGCTTCATAACCAGGGAAGAAAGACTGTATTTAAAATAGTTGAACATCACCTGGCCGGCGTGGCTCAGCGGTTGAGCACTGACCTAGGATCCCGGAGATTAAGGTTCAATTCTTGGTCAGGGCACATGCCAGGGTTGCGGGCTCGATCCCCAGCGGGGGCGTGCAGGAGGCAGCTCATCAATTAATGACCCTCTCTCATCACTGATGTTTCTCTCTCTCTCTCCCTCACCTTTCCTCTCTCTGAAATCAATAAAAACATATAAAAAATAATAAAATAAAATAGTTGAACATTGTAATACAGTGAGGCTGTTTGATAACATTTCGGCCATGTTTTTCCCTTCAAATGTGTAACTTTTTAAAACAATTCACAAGCTGGACAGTAGATTCACTCCTCTCCTCCTTGAATTTTTCCCTGATCCATTAAATATTTTTTGTGATCTTTCCAAATTAGCTCATTTAGAACACATTGAGATCTACGTTATGCTTTTCTCTGGCAGCATAAATTCTACTATACAGGGTTGGGTGAAAGCCAGCTTACAGTTGTGAGTATGCAAAACACAGAGTTTACTGTATTATTATTTATTAATTATTGTACTATTTCCCATACGAACAACTGTAAGCCTACTCTTGCCCAACCCTGTATGGGTATGTCATGGTTAATTTAACAAATCCTTTGTCCATGCTTATTCTACTGTTCCTATTTCTTTTCTTTTTTTAAAACATATCTTTATTGATTTCAGAGAGAGGAAAGGAGAGAGAGAGAGGTAGAAACATCAATGATGAGAGAGTCATTGATTGAGCCTACAACCCAGGCATGTGCCCTGACTGGGAATCGAACCCCGATCGCCTGGATCCTAGGTAGATGCTCAACCGCTGAGCCACCCTGGCAGGGCTACTGTTCCTATTTCTGATATTATAAGCTACAACAAACATCCCTGTGCACAGGCAAAATTCCTAGTGGTAGAATTGTGGGTCCAAGAGCCTGTGCCTTTTATTGTTTTTGTTTTTTAAAAAATATATCTTTATTGATTTCAGAGAAAGGAAGGGAGAGAGAGAAACATCAATGATGAGAGAGTCATTGATCGGCTGCCTCCTGCATGCCCCTACTGGGAATTAAGCCCGAAACCTGGGCATGTGCCCTAACTGGGAATCGAACCACGATCTCCTGGACCATAGGTCGATGCTCAACCACTGAGTCACGCCAGCCAGGCGAGCCTGTGCCTTTTAAATTCAGACATGCTACATATGACTCTCCAAAGAGACGGCATCAATATACATGCCATCAACAGGGCCTATCTTCCATACACCTGTGCCGGAAATGGGCATTATCAAACTTAATATACTAATCTGATGGGTACAAGACAGAATATGATGGATGTTTTGCTTTACACCCCTTTAATTGTGAGAGTCAGGGTCAGAGTCTTTAGCCATGACTTTCTGAGAAGAGTGCTGTGAAAAAAATAACCACTGGGCCAGAACAGACAGACAGACCTGGTGTCAGAGTTACTTCTGGGTCATGTGACTGTGGGCAAGTCACTTAATGTGACCTGAGACTCCTTATGCATGGAATAAAGTCTACACAGCCTGTTCCTGCCTCCCAGTATGTGACAGTGTGGAACTCACGATTCAAAATGAGACAAGCCCCACCGAAATGCCAGGGGAGATGCTGATGGTGATGGCTAGGGCCAGCCCCTTGGGCACCAGTGCAAAGGGACAGTGTGAGAGGGGTCCCTTTACTGTCAGGTATAAAATAGGGAGGTGGTATGTGTGTGGAGGGAGACAGCCATCCTGGTATACCCCAGCCCAACAATGACACCTCCCCAAGTTATGTCTTTCAAGGTGCTCTGAACCAAGAGTCCTGTGGATAAGTTTGGGAAATGCTGTAACTACATTCCTCTCTCAGAAATTCACAGTGCACGCTGGCTGAAAAGTCCTGCAGTTCAGAAACTTGTTAAACTTTATCCCAGATTTCCAAAACTCTTTTTTGAAGACGGAGTCTTTATTCACCTAACCTTCAACAATATCAGTTTCAAGGAAAACATTTTTGGAAATGTCACTTTAATACATTAAAATGCATGAGGCTCAAATGTTCATAATTAGTAGTTCTCACTATTTTTGGTTTTAAATGGTAGGATTCAAATGTTCCATTTGTTAGGTATTAGGTTTACTGTATGGAATTTGAAAGCCAGAGTAACAAACAAAAGGGGGTGCAGCTCTGCTCTGAGGGATCCTGCTGCCTCTTCCGCCAGGGAAAATCTTGACTCCGCAACCAGGGTCAGAAGAACGATCAGCCCTGGGGAGGCCGCCCCTGACTACAGAGAAGCAGAACTCACCGCACAAGAAGGCCACGGTCCGGAGGGTCTGCTGCATGAGGATCTGGGTGACTGGGGACAGGTTGTGGTGCGTGTAGTGGGACATCACGATGCCTGAGAACAGGATGGCCATAATGCCTGGAGAGGGACAAAGAGGCAAAGCGCCCAGGCATGAACAGAGCAGAAAAGTACCTATCATGTGATCCACAAATAAAATATGTCACACTTCCCACAAGTCCCTGGAGCTTATAGTTTTAGGTGTTTTAAGAAAAAGAAGAAGAAAATAATACCTCAGGCCTCCCAGAGGCTGCAGAGAAATGCCAAGGGCCCCTTCTGTCTGGCAGCTTCACTACTGGCTGGCTGACCTCGGGCCAAGTCCCCCCCCACCCCAAGCCTCAGTTTTCTCATCTGTCCAGTGGAACTAATAGTACCTACTCATGAACTGTTAGAAGGGTAATGAAGATTAGCCATGCAAGTGCCCATCACAGGACCGGTGTAGGCTGTCATCCACAGATAGAAGGAGGGTAGATGAGCCACCATTGGGACAGAGTGTAAGAATCTGTAGATTTTAATTTACTTTTTTATACTTTTTCTTAATTTTGAATTTCCCTATAATCACCATTAAATACTATCATAATATAGAGAGATGTGTTATAACATGTAATATCTTTTCTTTAAAGCTCTCTGAGAGTCTAAAATTTTTGTTGTTTACTGAGGATTTGAGTCTCACCGTTTAGCCACTGCTCCTAATCACTCCTGAAGCACTTTACGTGGGTTTCCTCTCAGTGTCTCCCTGTCTAGGGCTTCTATTTCATGTAAATACAAAGTCACTAAATAAGCCAAAACATATGAACTGTAAGTCAGACTTTCTAAGCAAAATTTCAACTCCTCTGCAGCTCTGTAGAAACCCTGTTCACTAGTAATCCCTATTACTGGTGAACTTTCCATTTATAAAAGGGTGAAATTCATAGAATTCCATGGGAGACATTTCATCTGCTAAGCTTGCTGTATAAACAATACCCTACAAGATATAGGAAAACCCTACTCCTTGTGTTGCCCAGCAGGCATTTGCTGGCCCGAGCGACAGCAGCAGCTGAAACATTTTATCTCCTAGTCTTCCTAGGAAATAGCAAATTCTTTGCTCTTTCATTTTCCTGTACAATAGAGGCTAGATGGGGACACTATCTGACAAGATGAGAGAAGGGAAGGAGCGGGTGGGAGACTTCTGTACTTGCTACTGCAGAACACTGAGAAGACTGCAGCTCAAGAGTCGTTCTAAACCACTGCTCTGCGAGACGAAAAATACACAACAAAGTCTAAAAATCTGGGTAGATTTTGAACCTGGTTCTTTCAGCCTGACCCTGCAGCAGAGCCATCAGAGGGCAAAGCAATGGGAGATGGTGGGGGGAAGACCAGAACCTGGGTCTGGAACTCAGTGGAGAACGGAAGAGAACAGGGCAAGACACGCTTGTTTTTATGGAATTGGCTTTAGCACTGCAGGCCAATGCAGAATGGTGCTGGCTGCTGGGATTTCAAAGGGCTTTGTTTCTCCAGCTTGTTTCAAGAAGGGTTAACAATTCATTGGCAAAGTTGAGGCTTTGGGGTTCTTACCTTGAAATAAAAGTCACTCCAGAGGAGCTTGAGCCCGTTTAAGTGGTGACACCCACATCTTTGTCCTGCCCATAAAGACAAGTTGTCGCAGCCCATGGGAGTCCTGACATCGAACCACCACTCCAGAAAGCCAAAGGCTCCGGGAAGTCAGCTGGCATGGGAACGTGGAAGTCCCCTGTGGACTGAACCTTAGAGCCCACTGCCAGGCCCCCAGGCCCATCCTGCCTCAGGCTCCGCACCAAGGAGACAGGCTCAACACAGAAGGGGTTTGGCTGGCTGGCTTAGTCCAGTGCACTGGGCCAGGGGTAGGAAACTCAGACTCCTCGGGGGCCAGATAATGAAAATAAAAATAAAGAACGGATGAGTGCCCATGGGTGAAGGAGGCAAGACAAGCCCATTTCCAAAGGGCTGACGGCAGCCCTGTGCATGGGGCCTCGTGCTGACTAGTCTTCCTTTGGGTTTTCTGAGAGATGTCAGAAATCTGTTTCTTATGGGAAATCTCTTCACTTAATGATGTAACTAATTCAGGTGTTTAACATTTTTCTGCATAGATAATCCCCATCTGAGGGCTGAATTTAATGATGGCAACTAATTCAAATGTTTAAATTTTTTGGTATAGATAACAAGCTCTACCTGGGGGTTGAATTTAGACAAGATGAAAATGGGCCTCTGGCCAATACAGAGTGAAGAGCCAGCCGCCACCCTGACCCTAAGCTAGAGTGGGATCAGGGCATCTCTCAAGTTTGAGGGGTTAAAGGAAAGAATCAAGGTCAGCATGGGGTGCAAAAGCCAGAGGGACAGCTCAAGTGTCTGCCCTCTGTGCACTCCCTAAGCAAAGGTGACTCCCCCACCACCCAGACCACCTTCATCCACTGTCGCTGCCACCAGCACAGGCTGTACAAACACTAACGGGCTAAATGTGCAAACAGGCCCACTTCTAGAGATAAAAATGCCCTGTAAGGAAGAATTCCTGACACATTTACTTCTTTTAGAAGTAAGCAGATAAGAATGTAGCAAAATGGTCAGCCTCCAGGAAGGAAAAAAGGGAGGAGGGAGGAAATTCATTTCTAGTCTCAGTTAAATCCATCGTTTCAAATGTAATAAGGAACAGAGTAAAGGAATCAAGTCCAAAAGGCAGACGTTGAAAGGGTATCATGGTACTATTTCCACCGTATTGAATCTTACTGTGGGTGAAATACAATGTACTACTTAAAAGCTGAGTCAAACCACAGTTTTCTTTGTTAATTAACCAATAACATATTTTGCTAAAGACATCCAGACTTGGAGGAACAGAGTAAAACAAGAGTCTCTATTCACACCGCCTGCCCAGAGGTTAACTATCATTAACAGTTCAATATGCAGATTGCCAGCTCTCTTACTAATGCCATAATGAAGTTTATCTTTAAAATATAACAAACAGAATCCTATTAGATATATGCCATGTATTGCTAGCACAGTAATTTCTTTCAAAGGCCTCCAACATTTGTCTTTGCATTTATTAGCAGAATCCCAGCACCTTCCCAGGCCTATAGAACTCTGCGGGTTGCAGTCCTTGCCCCTCTACCCCACCCACACAGTCTTCTTGCTCTTCTGGAGTGTGCCTAGCTCCCTCATACCTACCTGGGACCCTTAGCACCTACTCTTCCTGCTGCTGGACACCCTTCCCCAGATCCTCCCATGGCTAGCTTCCTCTCACATGTCTTAGCTTCAGGGCCACTTCTTCAAGGAGACCTTCTGACCCCTATCCCATGATGCTTCTGCCCCCTTGCCACTGTCTATCACATTACTCTCATTTTTTCATATCATTTCTCACTGCCTGAGATTATGCTATGTGTCTGCTCATTTGCTTACTGTCTTTCTTCTGAGACAGGAACTTGATCTTGTGTTCTTTACAACTATAGCCCCGATACCAAGGACAGTTCTCAGCACAGGGTAGGTATTTAATAAATATTCAATGAATGGATGAACGAGTGGTTTTCAACTTCCTGTCTTCCCTTTTTTGTTTTGTTAATCCTCACCTGAGGATATTTTTTTACACTGCTTTTCAGAGAGAGTGGAAGGGAGGGAGGGATTGGGGAAAGAGAGAGAAACATCAATGTGAGAGAGACACATTGACTGGTTGCCTCCTGCATGCGTTCCAACCGGGGGCAGGGAGCAAACCTGCAACCCAGGTATGTGCCCTAGACCAGGAACTGAACCCACAACTCTTCGGTGTGCGGGCTGATGCTCTAACCACTGAGCCACACCAGCCAGGGCCAACTTTCTTTCTTAAAATTTAACAATATATCTTGGAGTGGCAGTACAGATAGATCAAATTCATTTTTAAAGTGTCTACATAGTAAGTCATAGTGAGAATGGAACCAGACTTACTTAATTGTTCCCATTACTGATGAACATTTAGTTGCCTCCAGTTTTCCTCTCACAGGCGGTGGTGCAAAGGAATTCCTGGAATGGACACCTGTGCACAAGGGTGCTGTACAATACAGTCCATCTTGGGCCAACATGTTCCTTCCCATTTTATAGAGTTATGTCCTGATCAATTTTGCAAACTCATCCTTCAGCCCTGAAAGTTTCATCCTCTGTGACTCACCTCCACCGAGTGTGGCTCTGCCCCAATTCCCCTCCTGCAACCCAGAGTTGGCTCACATGGCAAGGGGAGGGGGCTCTCTGTTTTTGGCTCTTCAGAGCCAGAGGGCAAAGCAGCCCTCAAAACTGGTTTGAATGAAAAACAGAAATAGTTAGATATAGCCTGGCCAGTGTGACTCAGTGGTTGAGCGTCGACCCATGAACCAGGAAGTCATGGTTTGATTCCTGGTCAGGGCACATGCCCAGGTTGCGGGCTCGATCTCCAGCAGGGGGCGTGCAGGAGACAGCCAATCAATGACTCTCATCACTGATGCTTCTCTCTCTCTCTCTGAAATCAATAAAAACAAATTTAAAAAAAGAGAGAAATAGATATAGATAGAATTAGAACAAAGATTCTGAGAATAGCTAATGCTTCTGAGTAATAATTAGGGAAACTAGTTAATTAGCTGTTGAAGCCAGGACACTTGTGTGAGTGAAAGGGGGTGCTGTTAATTTACCGTGTTGAGACAAAAGGGGAAACTTATACGGTCGCCCTAGTAATTACACACATTGATGCCTCTATCACTTACATCATTCCCTTGAATCCTCACAAGCCTGAGGGTGGCACTTTTATTATATGAGGAAGTGAATGCTCAGAGTAGTTAAGCCTGCTGACTGAGGTCACACAGCTAATGATGAGAGGTAGAGCTGGGATTCAAACTCAGGTCAGTCTGGTGTCCTTAACCAGTGTGTTCTAAACACATGGTTTGGGTAAATGATTTGTAGGGAGAGAATGTCCTGCTTGGTGGTCATGGGAACCACTCACTATCAGTCCTTTGTGATGGTCAGGAAAAGTGGAGCACAAAAGGGAAAGAGGAGAGAGCAAAAATATGCTCTAATAGTGGGACCCAGAGGGTCCTCACAACACACGGGGGCCATCCTCCCCTTCTCTGAAAACCCTGTGTGACAAAGATCCCAAAGGCCCTGCAGAGGCAGATCGTGTGTTCTTGCTGGGCATGTGCTGTCTTTGGACCCAGCAGTGTGAACAGCAGAAATCCTTAAGGAAATGAGAGCCCTACAAACAGAAAACACTGCCTCTCGGAAGAAAAGAAAAATACTCCCTTGTTTTAATCACAAATTCCAATGGATGTATGAAATATATCTTTGCCATCAGATACTCAGTGTTCAGCTCAAGGGATAGGAAACAATTAAAAAAAACACAGAGGTAAAAATAGCTAGGCTAGAGCCAAATGGCTCACAGGTAATGTTTATGTAAGTGCCAAAATTCAGGAAAGGTAAGAGAGGACACTGGATGGCAGATGCCAGGATGAAATTATCCAAGAGAACTGGCTTGGGATTAAAAAAACAACAAATCCCTATGTTGTTTATAACGAGTTCTCCAGTGAAAATGACCAGAGTCCTCTCTGCTTCCTCCTTGGCAAGATCTGCTCACAGAGTACCCATGTGTGAGTCCAGAAAGTGATCTGTGGAAAGAATTCTGTTCAGCAAAGTCATTAAAAATCACTGGGGACTTCCACTTTGCCCATGAAGAAATAATTGCTAAGCAAATTGCTGTCCTGCCATAAACAACTAGAAAACTTGACCAAATACATGAAATAAAACTGTCTTCTGAAATTGGGTGCCGACCAGGTAGGACTGTGATTCCTGATAGAAGAGAAACAAATAAGGTAGCTCCTCCTATTCCACACTCCGGCCCAGCTTACAGCCTGGACATAGTTTTCAGGCTGAGGCTTGGGGAGGGGAACCCCAAGGTGAGCCCAACAGTCTCAGTCTTGCTGAGAAGGGAAGAGAGATGAGAGTTGGGGGAGGCCAAAGCAGCTAGAATACAGAGGAGAGAAGCTACATAGAAAGAGAGCTTCTGAGAGCTATAATTGAGTCCCCTTGAATCTTGGACTGATACTGATCTGTACGTGCATGGGGTGAGATTCCAAGAGGCTGGGAGAGAATCACTAAGAAGGAATAGGTTGAGCAATTCCCCAAGCACACACAAGGCTGGGAACAGTTTGCGTTCCCACAGGCTAGAGTAGAGTGACCTCATAATACATGGGACATGAGCTAGAGTCCTCAGAAGGGTAGTGCATTAGTTCCCAGTGCTACTCTGGGCCTGCCCTGACAGTTTAAAAGTAAACCTCAAAAGGATTAAACTCATTCCAGGAAACTTAGATATAAGGCAGAAGAAAATCCAAAACTCTATGAAGAATACACTAAAATCTAATAATCAATACCATAATCAAGTTCACAATGACTGGCATCCCAAAAATTAATAGGTAAGCAAAGAGCAGCAATATATAACTTATAAACAGAAGAAAATTAATCAACAGAAACAGACGCAGAATTGACAGATGATGGAATTAGCAAACAAGGACATTAAAATAGCTGTTATAAATATGTTCCATGTGCTCAAGAATGTAAACAACCATGAATGTGATACATGCAAAACCATGATGGGGCTCAAGAATGTTATAACTGAAAGAAATAAGACACAAACGACTGCATACCATATGACTTCATTTATATGACATTCTGGCAAAAGAAAACGATAGTGATAGAACGCAGCTCAGTGACTGCCAGGGCCTAGGGACAGGTCGGGGAATGACTGCCCTAGGCAGTCCGATCCCATCCTTGGAGGGAAGGCCCTTCAGAGCCCTAGTCCTGGGAAAGAGGCAAAACTGGAAGTGATGTTTTGATTTCTGCTACAGGATGGTTGGTAAAGAGAAAATGTGACTGTGACAACACTGAAGCCCCGGATCCAGCCAGGTCTAAATCCAGATGTATCCCTAGGGGGCCAGCAGAATCTCTTTGTGGCTTAAGTTCTTCTGAGTTATGACTATCTCGTGATTGAAAGTGACCCAGCTGACATGACCCCTCTCACCAGGCAGGACAACACGCCATCACCTAGCAGTTCAATGCTCTCGTTCACTTACCAGAGAGTGAGATTCCTTCCGCGAGCCCATAAGGAAGATACGCAAAAATGATCATCATGCCGAACTCCAAGGAAGGCGTTTTCCTCAAGTCAATATGCTTTAGCACGTAAATGACAGTTGTCAAAGAAAAAGAATCGGGACAGTTGAGGGGAAATCTAATGAAGTCACAAAACTGCTGCCTTCCAAATATAAGTTAAACAATGGATACAAAAGATTTTGGAACATTCCAAGGTAACAACTGAAAACCTGTCATGATGGATTTTTTTTCTTTGCAGGGTGACTGTAGTTTTAAGAAAGGGAATCTGAGAAAACTAAGAAATGTAAATTCCTGAGACAAATGGTGGGGGGCGGGATTTAAAATCAACCTAAGTTAGATCATTTAAAAATGCTGACTTGGGTCTTGGCTGGTGTGGCTCAGTTAGTTGGGTTGTGTCCTGTGCACCAAAGGGTTGCCAGGTTGATTTCTGATCAGGGCACATTCCCAGGCTATGGGCTTGATCCCCAGGAGTGGCTGTGCAGGAGGCAGTTGATTGGTGTTTCACTCTCACATTGATGTTTTTTTCTCTCTCTCCTTCTCCCTTCCTCTCTCTCTCAAAACCAATAAAAAACTCTTTTTAAAAATGCTGACTTGGAAGGCTGGGAATGTGCCAGGGCTGTGGGGGGCAAAACTGGGGCTGCAGACGGACTGAGGATAGCCCACCCTTCCAGGGCCTTGCTGCTCTTTCATCTCCCCCTCCTCCGTCAGATGACATGAACTAAGGGGGTTTCCAGAACTCTGGGGTTCAATGCCCCATCGAAGGGGCTATCTTTCGTATTGCTGGAGATTTTCAAAATCATGCTCCTGTAAAAGGAGAGCCTTCTATATATTCCAATATTGTTCACATGCCCATGCTGGAGATCAAAGCATCCATTCACCTGGCTTCATTACAGTAGATGCTCCCCCCACCCCTTTTAAGAAAAAGATAAATATGGAGAAAAGTACTGAGCTGGAAAAAGTTTCCTTTTCCATACTGTTTATTGGTACAATATGAGAAGCTGTCAACCAACTCAATAGAGCCTTTAGACTTCTGGACAAAGGAATCGAAGGGAAAATTCAACAGGATGGCAGACAAACATGCCTGTCACAGGCAAAAGGAGGCTTTTCCGGCCATCTGTGAGACAAACTGTTCGTGGGGGAGGGCCAGGTGGCCATCTCTGAGACGCAGGCTTAGGCTCACACAGAAGTGGTCTGGTGCCTATTCCTGTTATGAACATGATGAATTTTCTATAGCAATAAAGGTGTCATTGGCCTTCACGAGTCTCTTTCCTTCTCTGGCTGGAAAAATTTACAGGTTGTTAAGCTAGAAAATCAGTGCAAATAACTTAGATGAGCTCACTTTGAAAGTCTCTTTTAGGGTCCTTCTAGATAAACACTTCCAGATTTTCTCAATTTGACACTTTCAAAGGAAATTAATTTCCAATTTTTTGAATGTGAAAAGTGAGACAGCACAAAATGAAAATCATCTGAATGTGGTTATCATACTCTAGGAACTAAGAAACCTCCCAAATCAGATCTGATATCCAACAGTGTACATGTTTTTTAAGCTTTAAAAAGTGACATCCTAAATTTCACATGTTAAATTTAAAAATCTTTTAAAGTGCTCCTCAAATCACAACTATATAAAAATCCTCCATCAAACACAACCTTAGACTAAAATTGGTCCCTTACGGAGCTGGAGAAAATGGCTAAAGAAGGATGGAATTAAGAACAATCTCAGCCACACCTGTTCATCGCAGTGAAAGGATATTAATGCAGAGATTAAGCCAGTGAGAGTGCCGAGTGCTGCCGAGCCAAAGAACATTTTGAGAAAGTAGCCAAGGGCTTGTAAAAATGTTTGCCACCCACTGACATCTGACATATTTTTTCTCGTTAAACCTTCAGCTGTGCTAGGAAATAAAAGAAAAACAGAAAGAAGTTAAAATGTTATAGACAAAGTTATTAGAAGTTAACTTAGAACTCAAAACTTATTTCTTGATTTTTCTCTCATTCATCTATTCCATTGTTCAGCGAGTCACACATTTATTTGTTCACCTGCTTTGTTCAAGGAACTGTGTCAATTTCTAGGGGTTCAGAAATGAGAGTAAAGGCCCTGCCCTTGAGGATCTCCCCAAGTCTAGTGAGATGGGAACTAATGACGATCTGGGGTAAGGGCAAAGGGATGCAGAAACACAAAGAGGGCATCTAACCTCAAGGAGGTTCTTCATGACATATGGGCTGGGTTTAGATCTGGGATACAGGACAGTGAGGGAAAGTACCCCGGGCAGAGGGAACAGCATGTGCACAGGCAGAAAGCTCAAGAATACAAACACAATCTGGGAGCATTCAATTACACAGGTTAGTATGGATAAAACACAAAAGCAGAACTGGTGGGGAGGGGGGCGGTGCAGTGGGGAGGACTGTGGCAAGAGGTAAGGCCAGAGCAGCAGGCAGTGAGGACCTGTGAAAGGCTTCTGATGAACCAGGCTAAGAGCTGCTATTTCAATCTTCAGTATGAACACCTGGGGAGTGTTTCCAATATGGGGGGATCCTGTAATAAAACCTGAAACTGAGGCTATGGCATGAAGTCAGATTAGAATGGAGCCACCTGAAGAACTGCCATTGGGCACAGGCATTGGGTACAGAGAGGGTGGATTTAGGAGGCATTGGGGAGAAGAATTGAAAGAGAACAAAGTAACAGAACAAAGTAAAACTGTCAGAAGCCATTAAATTCCATTGTTGATTTTATCCTCAAAGGGAAAACCATTTACCATTTAAATGGAGTTATTCTCATTAAATATCCTTCTCTTGCAGTCTGATTCTACCTTCAGACTGTCTCTTAAATCCATCTACTTCTCTCCCTTCCTGCCCTACTATCTGCTGTCCCTAGATTTATGCCTCATTGCTCTCTATATACCTCCCTGTCTTCCTAGGGACCATGCCACTCTCCATTCACCTGCTTTGTTCAAGGATGAATGATCCTCATAAAATTCACATCTGTTCAGGTTACTGGTCTGTTCAAAACCCATCAATAGTTTCCTGCTGCTTTGTAGGAGGAAGCCTAGCATAACCTAGTTAATGGTGCTGAGGTTCTTAGGCTCCCCAAGACAGAAATCAAGAGGAAACCCCAGAGAAATTTCCAGACAGATTTTATTAAGCTTATGCTTGAGCACAAGGGAGGCAGCACAGAGAAAAGGATGTTCTTCTAAACTGGCCCTCGGGCTGGCTCTGCTTGGCTGCTTTTATAAGCTGGGGACAGAGTGGGCTTGCACGATAAGGCAGGCTTTTTGATAAGGCCAGGCTTGCACAATTTTTCATTTCAGGGTGGGGTGACTTCCTTTTCCTGCTGCGCTGCCTGGTAACTACATTCACGCCTGCACTGTTGGGGCAAGGTGGCAGACTGCTTGTTACCGCCACCCGGGGAAGGTCGTATAGCAGTCAAACCTTGATCAATTGTGTATGCGGGTGGGTAGTTTAAGCAGGCAGTTAGAAGGGAGATAAAGTCAGCTACCTCTGTTTCTGAGTAGAGAGTGGAAGGGTGGCAACATTTTGGGGTTCCTTCTAGTTACCTGGTCTTAACTTGGTTTCCTGGCCACTGGTACTTTCTATTCCCAGCCCAATCCCTATGCTGTTTCAACCTGCTTCCTCTCCCTGCCATACTTCTTGATCCCATCTCCTCCTCATTCAGGGCAGGCTCCACTGTTACTGGCACCCCCTTGTAGTCACCTTTCACTCCTCCCTGGCCCCAGCTAACTTCCCAGTTTGTTTCTCAGAACACAGGGTCAGTGTTACTTCCTCACGGTCACCTGCCCTGACCCCTTTGCACAGGTCAGCCATTTACAGGCTCTCCTGCTGTCTGCCTTTTCCACAGCATGTGAGAACTAATCATTCCATGAGGCTCAATCCTGTTCAACTGCCATATGTCCAGGGCCTAAGGCAGAGCCTAGCACACAAAAGACACTCAAATTTTTGCTGAATCAGTAAACAAAGCGAAGAATTGTCAATAGTAGTATTCAGCTTCATTATTCTGCATTTCATGAATTAGTATAATTATAAAGCAGGATAATCTCTGGCAAAACAGTAGCTTGATCAAATAATCTCAGGAAGCCTTTCATGGAGATTCACAGCACAATATAACATAAGGGTTCTGAAAGTTCTGCAAAAAAGAAATCTTTTTTCACACAAATGTTTTCCAAACTCACCTATATGCACAATCTCCCCCATTCCTTTTCTTTCCTAGAAGGTCACTTGGGGAGTGCTGGGACCCAACAAGGATTCTTACTGGGAAAGTGCATTTGAAGGCGAAGATCACCTCCAGTTCCCAAATGACCTGTGGGCTACATGCATACAGTGTCTAGCCCCCACCACATATGGCTCCCTCAGCTGGTAAACCAGCTAATGTCACTGCTTTCTTTTTATGCAAAGAAGGCTTAGGCCAATGGTTTCTGAACTCAAGATAAATGAAAGTAGAATTTGGACTTTTCTGGTCTGGTGATTTTCTACATTTTATTTTTTCAGATCATGTTTCTCACACCTTAAGCATATAAGACAATGCTGCTTCAGGATCCATTTCATGAGCTTAAGCTGTACCTGGAGAGAACAAGAGGTTCCCTCTACAGCAATTATTTTAAGAATAAATTGTCATAGTAACAAAATCAAAGCTAAAAATAATTTAAAGTTAATGAAGAAACAGAATATACTTAGCTTTCTGGCACTTATGAAAGTGAAAACATTAAAAAAGGGGTAATTCATTCCTATATTCAGTTGTAAAGATAAATGTATCGGTCACTTTGAAAACGATAGTTTATGAAGTATACCCTTAAAAACAAGACATGACAGCAGATCCCTCCTATAATGCAAAAAAAAGGACAGGCCCAGCATGCCCGTTTCTCCTCTACCTCCCTCTTCTATCTGAAAATGGCTCAAAAGACTGTTCACCGAGAAGCCTCCCTCAAATTCTTCAGTGATTGTTTCCCCCTGCACCACTGTGTTCACTTGTCTGTGAGCATCTCACCTTTGATTGAACTGGTCAAGTCCAACTGGTGTCTGAATGGTGTCTGGAACACAGAGGGCCCTCACCAAATGCTGACGGTAAATGATCAGCCTGTAGCATGTCTGTAGAGTCAGTGAGGCCGGACGTGGCTTAGGTGAGTGACTCCTACCCCAGCCTGTATCCCGGTAGTGCTGGAAGTGGAGGCTGGAAACTATATATGCATGGGGTTCACAGATCCAGTTTGGGGAACTGTCATCATAGCTAATCTTGGCCTTCAAAAGCACTTTTTTCCAGGAAGACTCTTTGGCTACTTATAATGAATGACTCCATCATTTCTCATTTTAAAAAGACAATATTTCCTAATCTTTGGCCTTTTTGTGGCAAAGAGACATGGAAAAGCTCAGAAAAGGTCCTACTTCTGACAGATTTTAAAAAACAAAATAGAGATAAAGCTGTTGAGTTTAGCTCCTAATGTATAAAAATAACTCATGATGTCAACTCCAATTTGGGCAAAATTCTTTATAACAAATGTTCAATATATGCAGCCAGGATATGAGATAAAAGTCAAAACCAGAAAGCTAAGAAGCTTTCAGGCTAGATCTCAAATAAGAAAAAAATATTGCCATGAGATTTCTTAAAGGTCTTATAGCAGATGTATGAGAATTTCCTAATGAAGCTACAGAAACTTTTACTAAGAGAAATGTGAAAAAGCCAATAGGGAATTGGTTAAATAGGTCATAGTAAATCCATAGAAAGGAGTACTCAGTAACCAGTTAAATGATGTTATAAGAGATGATTTTATCAACACTGTTCAATGGAAAAGCTACTGTACAGTATTCAGGATATAAGCCCATCTAAATAAAATATATGTATACTTCTACCAAATTGTTAACTGTAATTATCTCTGGGTAACAATGCGTGTAATTTTTCTTTTTTCTTTGCTGTGTGTGTTCTAAATTTCATATGAGGAATAGATGTACCACTTTTAGAATAACAAAACTAGTGTAAAGTTTGTTTAATTTAGGCCTGGTGATTACCTCTTGCAATTATGCAACCTTTGGTAATTTCTTCCTAGAAAAGTAGGCTAAAAGTAGGGCAAACAGTGAAATAGCAATGGGGCAGGAAGAGAAGAGGCAAGGGTCTCACATCAATTGATGTCAGATGCTTTTCACTAGCACTGTATTTAACCATTCAATCATCAAATCCAATCCTGGGCAAGGCATTACCACCCTCACTGACTACTGAAAAGCCTGTGACTCAGAGAGGTGAAGGAGCTGACCCAGGATCACACAGCTATGAAGTGGCAGCACCAGGACTTGAACCCAGGTCAGCCCGACTCCAAAATCTGGGCTCTTTCCACTATAAAACATCCCTTTAGTCTAATATAAGAATTTCTAATGTAGTCTAAAATTAAGCTTTTAAGAAAATGCTAACGACCACAGTGTTATGCTTAGCAAGGAACCTTGCAATAAAGGAAACAAGTCAGAATTCAGTTAGTGGAAATTCTATTCTCTAACAACACTGACTGGCTCCTAAAATTCTCTTGGCTCATGTCTGATACACTGTACAGGGTTCTTCCCTCCAATTGCTTTGACAGGCGCCTTTTCTGTTTTCTGACAAAACTGTTTGGGTCTCCTGCCCACACATGCTAATCAACACTGCAAAAGGCAGAGTTCAAGGAAATAGCCCTGTAGCAGATAAACACTCTGAAATTATCTTAAATTCATTTCCTTTTCCCAATGACATTTGATGATTCACCTTTAATTTCTCAGATCCTATCAACAAGGGCAGCAATACCAATGAACATTTGAAAGAGATTTGTGGTTTCCAAAGTGGCTTCCACCCAACAGCATCTTAAGGAGGGACGCCTATTAGTATTACTACCTTCTTTTATAGCTGTGAAAAGGAAGGTGACTGGCAACAGCTGCTAAGTGGGAGAGTAAGGCCTCTGTCTATTGTTGTCTGCAACAATGCAGTCCAAACTCTAATCCCTCAATGGGCTGTTCCATCATCCTCTGGGGAAATGATTAAAAACCTAAATTCTTAGGACCCATCCCAGACTAGTCACTGACTTAGAAGCTCTGAGGGTGAGGCCTGGGGATGCTACATTTAATAAGTACCTCCAGGATACAGATGAGAAGCTGCCTCAAAACTACTGCTAAGAGGTAGGTCATAAAAGGCGGATCACCCTGGACCTTGACAGCAGCCCTGGGGCATATCAAGGCTTGTCAGGACAGAAAGACGGAGAAGCAGGTGAACTGATCATCCAGAGGACAAGTAACTGCACATGAAGCTGCATGGAAGCAGCTGTCCCTCTGTTACAAGGACCGTTAGTTCCGTCCCTTGAAGAGAGCACACTTACTTGGTCAAGACGATGGAGACTGCGTCGTTGAGAATACTCTCTCCAAAAACCAGCATGTTGAGCACTGGGTCCACATGAAGTGCATTAAAAATAGCAATAGTAGCCACTGGATCCACAGCAGAAATTAGGGAACCAAATGCAAAACTGTAAAGAAGGGAACAGTAAGGGGAAATTCTGTGAAGCTCATTGCTTGGGCCGCATATTAAAGCATTAAAGCCGGGAACTATATTTGACATAACATAATAGTACACACACTGTAGCTGAAGTAATGACAGAAGATGGTATATTTTTTCCTCTTATGATATCTGTGAACTGACATTGTAGGGTAAGAGTTGTTAGGAATGGCCTAGTTTCCCACTTTAAGTATCAAGACTTTGCCCAGTGATGGATGGAAGACTTTAGCTTAAATGCATTAGACTTCTCAGCCTTTTTTGGTCAGAACAGTTGGAACCATGATGGCTCAGGGGCCTCCCACAAATGACCCATGGGCTCCTGGGTCTGACATCTGCTTTGTCTCTTGCCACCATCTGTGACTAACCCCAGCCTCCACTCATATTTGTAGCACCTAAGAAAGTGCGAAGAGCCAGCAGCAACTCCAGCATGCTTCAGAGGATTGGCAGCTTGGCTGGCAGACACCAAGCCCAGTGCTGCCTCTCACCAGGCCAGCGGCTCTCATCAACAGTGCCCACGAAGGTCTCATTACCTCCAACAAATATGTATTCATCGCCTAATGTGTTTCAGGCACTGAAGCTAATAATAACAGCAAACACTTATGTGGCACTTACCATGCCCCAGGCACTTCAGCACTTTACATATAGTAACTCAATAACCCACTTTCTAAGATGGTACTATTACTGCCCTGATTACATAGGAGAAAACTGAGGGTCAACGATGTTAAGGAACTTGTCCAAGGTTGGACAGCTAACAAGTGGCAGCGCCAGGATTCAAACACGGGTCACTGGCTCAGAGTTGGTGCCCCTGACCATGCCCCTAGATATAGCAATATCGAGACTGAGACTAATTCAGAAAATGGCATGTTTTACACAGGAAATCAGGGTGATGAATGAGAGGGTAACCTGGCAGGGGATGGAGGTGGGAGGCACTTAGACTGGGTGGTCAGGAACGGCCTCTCTGAAGAAATGAGACTTGTCTGAACAAGGACCTGAACAAGAAGCAGGTGGCCAGGCCAAGGTCTGGGGGCAGTGGCAACAGCAAGCTACCTCTGAGGTGGGAGTCAGCTTGGCTGCGTGAGAAATAAAAAGGCGACTATGGCAGCTACATGGTGAGGGTGAGGGTGAGTGGTAGGAGACGGTAGAGGGTACAAGAGAGTCAGCGCCAGATCACCCCATGGGGCCTGGTGGGGCACCTGAGGAGTCTGGATGACTTGTTCTCTGAGCCCATTTGTCTTTTTTCTACCTCAGTGTTCTGCAAGCCTTCTATTCCCTCCAATTGCTATGCCTGGCACTGCCTTCTTTCTACATCAGCAGAATGGTTAGTCTGCCCCCTTCTCCAACACAAGGCAAAACATGGAGCCCCAGGGAGACAGCCCTACATGAGACGTAAGCCAGAGACTGTCCACCTCTGCTTCCCACCCTCACCAGCTTGCAGTCTGCGAGGGAAGAGGGAGCCACTTGGCCTAGGGACAGAGTGTGCTCTGTCCACTATGCCTTCACCAGAGCCCCCGATGGCCACTGGACTCTGGGCTCAGTTCTCTTCAGAAATCAATAACCTGGGGTTCTGATTTCCTGGGTAGCTCCCCGCGAGTTTGACTGAGTGAATTCAAGCAGGAGAGTCTGCTCACCTTAAGGAAAGTCTCTGGATCTCAAGCTGAGGACCAGGCCCAAAAGATGGTCTCAGCTCAGACTCCAGTTCCCAGACTTTGTCCTCACAGAAGTTGTCACATGTGTTATGAGCTGTGACTTCATCTGCCTCTTGCCTTCACTGTGAGTCCCAGGGGTGTGGGCACTGTGTTTTAGTCATGGGTATATTCCCAGGACTGGTACTGAACATGGCCCAGAGAGATTAGTGGAGAGCAGGCAGGAGGGAGGAAGGGAGAGAGGAATGGAGGGAAGAACAGGTAATGCCACCAAAGGACTGCAAACCTGGGAGGCCCTGTTTGGCAGCTGGCCTTGAGGCCCTTGTGCTGCAACTAGGCACAAACCTTCTTTTCTCTCTTTTATTCTCACTCTCATCACTCAAGGCAACATCGCAGGGGCCTCAAGGGAAGAGGAATGTCTAAAAAGTGTATTGTGAAGTAGCGGGAGTCGGGGGCGTGGAGGACAGCCCTGGGAGTCTCTGCTGGGCTGTGTGCTGTATGCTGGCTTTGCTGGCTCAGCTAACTCCTCCCCACCCCCCGGTGCCATGCAGCAGACAGCCACATTTCTCCCTGCTCAACACCCAGGGACTCTGGTTTTGGTAAAAGCACCCAAATTTTCCTTTGGGGAGCCACCTCCCCTACTTTCTCTCCATCCATGTAATTGCATGGGACTCTGGGAATGGGCAGGGGACCCAAGCTTGGTGAATGAGGACCATCACCAGGCATTTTACCAGGTCATGGGGAATTAGGTTGAACAGTGACGTAAGCTCAGGGTCATTGATGCTGCCACATGGAGTGAGTGTGCCCAAGAATAAAGTCAATCAGGGAAGAGCTAAGCTGAGACAACAGAGGAGAGATCCCTGACATTGTGGGCCCCTGGAGGCTGTCATGACATATGCCATCATTCCGGGGACACTTCAGTTCTATGAACCAACAAACTTGCTTTTTCTCTGCTAAAGCTACTTTGTGCTAGGTTGCAGTTGCACTGGAAGAGGCCTGCCTGATGTTCTTTGTCACAGTCCTGTGGCATCCTGGACTGGAAATCAGAGCAGGAACCAGAAGATGGATTGATGAATGGGTAGAGGGATGGAGGGATGGAAAGATCTGTGTTAAAGCAAATACGGTGAACTAGTGGTTATAGACTCTGGGTGGTCACGTGGGTATCCACTGTACAAGGTCCACCTTTGCTGCATGTTTGAGATTTTCATAATAAAAGGTTGGAGGGAAATGCTTTGCATAAATTAAATAACACATTTAGCTTTAGTTGGAAATCTAAATTGGGACAGAGCTTTTCTGACAGTGTCTATGAAAAGTCTGAACTATGAACCTGCCTGAGTCATCAAGAGGCCTGAACCTAAGGGGTCATTTGACCTTGCCATCAATTGCTCCATTTCATAATTTCATGGCCCAGTTTTTTAAAAGGCCAGAAGCTACAAGTTCAACTTAAAGTGTGTTTTCTTGATTCCATTATCTCAAAGGATAGCAACATCAAGAAAACAAAAAGGAAACAGTCTAGGATGGTAAAATAATTCAGGGTGTACCAATGAATAAAATCTCTCTCCAGAAGAAATATCACTAAAATAAAATGCAACAAAGTTTTAGTTTTCTGTTATTTTTTAATGTTTTCTCTAGTGCAGAGGTCTGTGCGTCCCATGTTTGACCTACATGGTGTTTTGAAAAACTGAATATATTGTCAACATTTGAAAACTGGAAAATTTCCTATTAATATCTAAAGACCTGGTCTCTTTTGAAAAAATTTTTTTTTAAAATATCTAGTAATTCTGGGCCCATAAGGGTAATTTCTAGGTGGAGCTAGAGTGGCTGTCCCTTTCAGAAAGGGCATGCTCTCTGGTTCACTTTCACCACCTGGCCAGCTTCCCCTGTGATGTGCCCTGCCAGGCCCCGTAGCTATGTGGGTTTGCAACTGCTGGCTAATTTTCCCAGAACACTACCCATCTATGGGACAGTTACTTTCCACAGAAAATGAAGTGTCTGCACATGGAGAATTAAACTCTACCTGGTTGCTATTCTGCTTGTCCAAAGAACAATTCTCTTACTCCTCTCCCCTGAACATCCCACCCATCGGTCCAATTCAATTTTATAAGAATTTATCAAGCATTTCCTGTATCTCTAACAGCTGTCCCCAAACAGGTTGAAGGAATGAATGCTGTGACCTCTTCCTTTACTTGGACTGGGCTTGGGACATTTATTTTCATTGGTAAAATACCTACAAAATGCAGGGCATCAGCTCTGTTTTATTTCCAGCTCCTTATGGAACAGGAATGTGACTTTTGCTACTTGTTTATATATCAAAACTATCTCACAACCAAAGCTGTGAAATTTATGTCCCTGGGAGAAAAAAGATTGGACTTAACGTTATCAGAGGCACATTTCCCATGAAAAGGGCTCTAAGAGTCTAGTCCCCAAGGTGCAGCTAAAGGCTGAAAGCTCTGGCTGGCCGGATGGGAGGGACCTGGGGCTGAGCGCTCACCCTGCTTCCTAGCTCCCCAGCCTCAGGACAGAACCAAGGGCTGTGGGATGCAGAAACACAGAGCAGGGCTGCATCCTTGCTGAACTTTTCAGAGAGGGAAAACAGACTGAACTCTGCGTATGCACTTTTTCAGCACTAGATCTGGTACCTTCTGAGAGACAGCTGCCTAGGTGGCCTTGCTAAGCCAATTATGGAAATTCCTGGACTGGACTCCTAGACAGCAAGCAGCTCTGAGGGCTCACTGGAGCAGCTTCAGGCCAAGGAAGACATGCACAACAGAACTTCCTCTACAGCACCCCCACCCCAAACTTGGTGAAATTCCAGAGTAAAGATTCACACCTCATCTCCCCCTCCTTTCCTAACCCACCAAGAAGACAACTTTTCATTGTGGCCATTGAAAAGACATAAATCGGTTGAAGAGGATTGTATGCAAGGGGCAGTTAACTCATGAGTAATTCCTTTCAAAGATTAAACTAAATTAATCATTTCAATCAGCAATGCTCTGACTAGAGGTCTTCAAATTTTCCTCAGTTAGATTTGATTCATTTCAGAGACCCAAATTAATTCAGAATATTCTACAGAGAAATCATCAGCAAAACAAAACAAGAAAAAGAACAGAGAGGAAACAAGTCCAAGGATTAATGTGGAGAACACTTTCTCTGGCTCTAAAGCAGTCCCATGGGTGTTAAGAGTATGAAAGATTTACCTGTCTGTCATGTTGAGTTTAGAGATTACATCAGCCTGCAAAATAAAACACACAAACATACAGACACAAAAAAAATCCCCTGGAGAACAGCCAAGAAGATTAAAATGTCCGTTAGTGCTTTATCACAAACGGATAGGGACATTCATCTTCAGTCCTCAAACCACTTGAAAATTTTAAAAAACTCCCGTTTTAGTTTAAACATGCATCTGATCATCATACAACAGAAGTATGTCAAAGAATGCTACATTTTTCAAGCCAAATTATCTACTGTGTTCTTCTCTAAAGTTTCTTCCCATTTGGTACTAGAAGCTGGGCAATGAAGGTTACAGGACAGACAGATTTATTATGGTGCCACTGAGGCAGCCAGTAAAGGTGAAATTCAGATGGAATGGGTGTTAGCCTACAGCCGTCAAAAGAAGCAAGCACATCTGGCACACATAAGAGATATCTGCCCGTCACCCAGCTGCCTGAACCTCAAACTCACTTTACAGAGCTGGGGCAGGAAGGCTTCCTGCTATTGACCATGAAGGATAAGGACCGATATGCATAGGTGCGCACAATGCAAAGCACAGGTGCTACCTTTGCAGGTGGGTCTGATTTAAAGGAATTCAAATAATCTGAACCCTAAGTACAGAACAGCCAATTGGTAACACTGGGAACTGGTTTAGCAATGGTGGAAAATCCAGAGTATATAAGTCTACAGATGAATGAGTTAGAATTGAGTGAACACATTCAGAATCATGATTTTTTAAATGCAAATTTTAATTTGAAAAAGAGCATTTAACCCTGATTCAGTGTGCCTAACACAACCGATATTGTTATAATCTGAAGATCCTGATGGCATCTAGTCTGCTTTATTTTTAGGTATTCCAACTTAAGACATGTTGATTTGCAAGTAACAGCAAACAAATATTTTTGAGGATTATGGGGAGCATTCACTCAATTCCAGATATCAAAGCTCTCTGAGGACATTGAGAAACAAGCTTAGCATGACTTTACTGGGCCTCATGAGTCTGTATTTCCTTCCAGGGGAGCATTTACCTTGAATGTGAAACCCAGGCCCCATGGGGTGTCCCTGACCCCGCCTCCCTGCACTAGCTCTTAAGTTTTTCAAAGACGTTTTTCTTACCTGACCCAGAAAATAAATTCCTCCACCTACTACAAAAGCAGAAATTGCTGTACCAAAAACAGAAAACAAGGTGATGGAACCAATATTTTGAAAGAAGTTACCCTGTTTGAAAGAGGAGAAATGAGAGAAATGGTTAGAAAAGCTGGTCTAGTCAACAGAGGCATGGCCCCCACACCTGTCTCTCCTCACCCTCTTGGTTCTCTGTGAAGGGCATTGTTGCCCACCTTATCTAGCAAGCTGGGGACCTGGGAGTCTTCCCTCACACCCACATCCAATGTAGAGCCTAGTCCTGTGGCTTTTACCTTCCCCACGTCACTCACATCTCCCTGCTTCTCTCCATCACCATCTCCATTGCCCTTGCCCAAGACATCATCATCTCTCCTCAGGACCACTGCAATAACTTCTAACAGGTCTCAACTATTCCTGGCTCCTTGCCCTCCACTCTCCAAGGGCTTCCAGAATGATCTTTGCAAAAGACAAATCTGATTCTGCTGCCTTCACTTTGACCTCCCCCCTACTTCCACTTGATGTGCAGCTAAAACCCAACCAAAGCCTGGATGGTTCCATCCCTGTGAGGGCCTCTAACCTCCCCCTTTGTTTTCTGGGGGCCAGTCACACTGGTGGCTTTTTGTTCTTCAAACACACTGTGCTCCCTGGATTTGGACCACTCTTCCTTCCTCTTTGCTTGGTGAACTTTAATCATCCTAAGCTCTCAGGACATTTTCACTCTTCCTGAGGGAAGCCTTCTCTGATCCCTCAGCAAGGCCAGATTCTGTTCTAGGCTCTCAACACACAACGACCCTCTCCTGGCAGCACTTGATATGGCTGAAAATTTACATTTATTTATGTAACTATTTGACTGATGTCTGTCTTTCCCACTAGCTGCAGGCTCAAGGGGGGCAAACACCACACCTGCTTTTGTATAGAGTCACTATCATAATGCCTGTCAGATGCAAGATGCCCAATAAATAGGTACCAAAGGAATTAATCACGTTTCATGTCTGATCAAAGCCCAAAGTTTATACAATTATAATTTTTCATTTAATTAAGAAAAGGTGCGTTACTACAAAGAATGTCAAGATAGTAGGTCATACTGTCATAAACTCCTTTTTGCTTTCCATGTCTTTTAAACAATTTTATTTCACTTTATTAGTATCATCATTAAATATAAATATGACAGATAAAATATATTTCCATCTATACTCTATGGCATTTAAGAGAAAATATTTGAGTCCAAGTAGCATGGTCACATCTTTCACATTTCCATAACATTAAGAAAATTAGCTATTTATTTAGAATCCTGTGGACCCACTTAGGAGCAATACCAGGGAACCTTGATGACCCCTTGACTGTGGGCATGGACAAGACATCCCATCTTTTCTTCACTCAAGAACAGTGAAGTCACAACAGGGACTGACATTTTAAAGCTGATTTCAAAAGGATGTACTCAGCTCAACACTGACACCCACTAATCCTATCTCCTTCAGGGAGTTTCTTTGCTTCATTTGCTGCAATTTTGATTTGGCTGCCCATAATCTGACATTCAATTACTCTGTTTGGCATATCAATTCTCAGCGCACAAAGAACTTTCAAATAACTCAAGGCAAACAATAATTTGTTTTTTCTAAACAAAAGGCTTTCATCTATGAGTTCTTCTTTGCAAAAAGCTGCTGTATTTTGTTATTTTAAAAAAAGATTAAACTAAGTCTTGGTCTGTTTATAGGGAGCTAATTCTGATAAAATATATATAGTTGGTTAATATTAATCTGGATATTGAAATTTACCCAAATACAAGTTACCACACTATAAGAACTTCCCTTTGCTATACAAAGTGGATTTACCTGTTTCTGACAAAATTAATGTCCTATTCTTTATATGATATTAATAATTTAAAGAGCCAATACCTGCCTACCTAATGCATATCAACTTAGAATAGTCTTACTGAATTTTTTATTCTAAATCCAAATTTAAATTAGCAAATACAGCAATATTAAAGGAAAACATTCAGAGTTGACTTCCTATCTTCTTTGGGGGAGGGTAAGAAGTGGACAGTCTACTATCTTCTTTGGGGGAGGGTAAGAAGTAGACAGTCTCTGAATTTGCATTTCTAAATCACATTAGTCCCTTTCACATAAATCACCACGTTTTCTGCTGGAAAGCCATCTTCAAAGAAATTATTTTTTTAAATTGAATCTATTGGGGTGACATTGGTTAAAAAATTATATGGGTTTCAGGTGTACAGTTCTCTAATACATCATCTGTATACTGTATTATGTGTTCACCACCCCAAGTCAAGAAATTATTTTTAAAGAAACTATTATTTTCCACAAATTCTGAACAAGTTTATTTCCCTTCCCTCCAAAAAATTAGAAAACGTTCCATGCTCTAACACACTAATCAAGGTGTGTTTTTAAGTCAAAATCAAATCCATTTCCTCAACATTGTTTTGAAATATTTTCATAATCGGCTGATAGTTCTTTTAAGAGTTATTTACAAAATGAAAGAAATGAAAGAGTAAAAGACATGACCTTTAATTCCTTCTTGTTTTCTCTTTAACAATTACCTGATGTCAGTAAGAGTTTGTAAGACTTGGGAAATTTTTTGGTTAATCCTCACCTGAGGATATTTGTTCCATTGCTTTTCAGAGAGAGTGTGTGTGTGGGGGGAAGACAGGAGAAAATATCCATGTGGGGAGGCGGCTGTGAGTGAACACGCTCTAACCACTTAGCCACGCAGGCCAGGATGGGAATTTTTTTTTTTTAACATTAAACTTCCTTTCACATTTTACATGGCTAGATGTACAATAAAATAACATTAAAAAAAAAAAATCTGGACTGAACATTTTAGAATATTTTTGCTTTGGTACTCAGGTGAAAAATTAAAGATTAATTTGAATGTTTTAACCAAAACTCTCTTGACAAATTTAACTCTCAAGTTTATTATGTTATTGTTCACAATACTACTAATAATATTAATATTAGTAATAATAGATATTATTATTAATAACAAGAAGCACTATCATTTATTTACTGTGGTGGGTGGTGCTTTGCATATATTCTTTCATCTAGTGTAAATTTCAAAGCAACCTGAGAGGAGAGTTTGGGGTTGTTGTTTTTCGGTCTTTCGTTTTTTGTTTTTAATTTCTACTGTGTCCAAAAGGAATCCATAGGGGGCAGCACATGATTAGATCTAGGTCTCTGGCTCTCAAGTCCAGGCTCTTTCCTCTCTCCAAGGGTAGGCCAAACCTTAGTCCTTTCAACCGTCACAATTTTTTATCATACTCACAAAATAACTTCTGTATCACTAACATTTTAAGTTGCATCATCTATTTTAAAACTTAAATACATTTATATTCAAAGAAAGCTCATAGACAAAGAAAAAAAACCCATGCACACACACAAAACTAGACTGGCTTAAAAGTGTGAAGCTCCTGCCCAGGCAGAAAGAGTCCCACTGGAAGTTAGAGGACAGAGACCAGAAATGACAAGGCAAAGCAGGGAACTGTGCAGAGGACAGTGGAGAAGGGGAATATCAGCTGGGGGTTGAGGCCCAGGGCAGGGTACTGAGAGGGGAGACGCTGAAGGACAAGTGGCCTAAGGAGGGAGAAAGGTCCAACATGGTGAGCTGAGAGAGTCAAAAGGCCCAGGGCACATGTCCCTGACCACCTACGACACAATCTATCCTTTTAATATGTGCCTGTCTCTGTTTGACAAGAAGAGTCAATGTCTCTGTTGTCCGAGTACAACTCAAATTCACCTTGGCCATCTTCCTACGAAAAGCACCCTTCTATGGCAAACACTAGTTGAATAAGTCACGCTGCCTGAAACCATGAAAGCAGCCCATTGACATGTCTGCTCCTGTCCACAAGTCAGGCAGTTCGGTCCAGCTTCCACCATGCACACCCAGGATGCGCACCCAGACACCACTGCTAAATTAATACCCAGGCTTTTACAGAACTTGCCTTACCAACACGGGAAGTGATCCAGACCAAACCACTAATGTGTGCCTGAGCCTTACCTTGTGTAACGAATATCCTGACTCAAATATAATGGGTGGAAGCAGCAGAAGGAAAAACATATTTGGACGAAACATTTCTTCTTCCTATAAATATAAAATGGGTACATTCAGAGGCATGGGATTTGTATAATTAAGAAATAAATCCATCAATGAAGAGCCAAAGTAATTCTTCTCGCAGGCCTGGCCCATTGGAAACATATTGTGTTTAAATAACTACCATGTTTAAATAAAAACACCAAACAGGAAGACAGGCAAAAAAAAAGAAAACACATGCTCCCCCACCCCCCTCCATACAAGTGCATTTAAAAATGTAGGACAAGGGAGTTTAACAGGTGACCAGCGAAAGAAAAATCAGAATGAAGTGCTTCCAAATACACAGTCATATGCTTTTTAGCCTTTACTAAGGAAAAAAAATTAATTTTAATATAGAAAACATTTCAATTCAAATAGAACATTTTCAAAAACAAGTCCACACATTGGCCCCCTCCAGGATAAAGGTAATGGCAAGCCCTAAAACAATCCACTTAGAGGACGAGGAAACCCTCCCCACGTCTAAGCCCCGCCTTTTCTCCACCTGTCACTGACAACTCTGCCATTTTCCTAAATCTGCCTGTGATAAAAGAGTACCCACCAGATGCCCTCACGACTTGGCTATCAAGCCAGTCCCTCACCACACTTTCAGATTGAAATATTAAGTCTGATTATTAAAAGTATTCTAGATATAGCCATCTTTGGCAGGATGAAATAACACTTGGATTTTCTATATTAATCCATTTCTCTAATTGTTGGTGGACTGGGGAAAATACATATTTGTCCTCAAGCTCAAAATGAATATATGTAATGGACAGTCTATTAAACACTGCAGAATCAGGCCCTTTTTCATATGAAAATTTCTATGTCAGAATCTTGGCAGTCTGGTTTCTTGTCAAAAATCCCTATTGAAAAGAATCACTAAATGTATTCTTACAAATGTACAGCTGTTACCATAAAGACTAAAATAACATTTAAAAAAGGCTCAAAATAGAAGCAAATGATGACTTCTGATTAAGTCTTAAAATAACTGCCTGTACAACAAGCTCATGACTCAGACTGGGACCATGTGAAAAGAAATGGGCTGATCTCTGTTTTGTGGGGCAACCAATTCTGAGGATCTGTGCAGTGGGGTTACTGTATAGATTCTTTTGGAGTTTCAAAAACTAAACCTCCCCTGGGAAAAAGGAAAACCCACCTATAATGGATTGTGTAGTGTCTGTCCTCCAGCCCCAATTCATGTCCACCTGGAACCTCAGAATGTGACCTTGGTTTGGAAAATGGGTCTTTGCAGATGTAATTAAGCAAAGAATCCAGATAAGATCATACTGGATTAGGGTGGGCCCCAAACCCACTGAGAGTACCCTCACTAGGGATAGAAAAGGACACACAGACACAGAGAAGGCCCTGTGAAGATGGACTGAGGCAGAGACACAGCCAAGGAACGCCTGGGACCAGTAGGAGCTAGAAGAGGCAATGAAGGATTCCCCGCCGCGAGCCTGGACTCACTCCCTAGAGGGAGTGTGGCTCTGCCAACACCTTGATTTCAGATCTCTAACCTCCAGAACTATGAGAGAATAATCTCAGTTGTTCTAAGTCACCCAGTTTGTGGTAATTTGTTACAGCCACAGGAAATGCATCCATCCACCACCATAAGATGAATAGTGTTATGGAAAGCTCCCCGGTTCCTTCTGGCAACATCTCCCCCCCAATAGTCTGAGGTGATTTTTGGTTGCACTTGAGAAGTGTGTGTCAGACACCTCTGACCCTGCAGACTGAGAAAGTCAGCCCCTTTGGATTCTTTTCAATCGCAATTAAGTCAAAGCCACCTCAGTCTGGAGCTACAGTGAGTACAGCCTCTCTCCAGTGTGCTGACCTCTCTCTCTCTCTTTTTTTTTTTTTACTATATCTTTATTGATTTCAGAGAGAGGAAAGTAGAGGGAGAGAGAGAGACAGAAATATCAATGATGAGAGAGGCATTGATCAAGCCCACAACTCGGGCATATGCCCTGACCAGGAATCGAGCCCCAATCGCCTGGATCCCAGGTCGACGCTCAACCGCTGAGCCACGCCCGGCCGGGCTGGCCTTTCTTTTTGCCAAAGAGAACAGGCTTGACCTTAGAGGCTTTGGCAGGCACATGTACTCCTTTGTTTATCTATAAAAACGGTATTGGTTTTCCTCTTAAAACTCTATTATGATGTTCCCTTTAAAATACATATATATATATATAGTATACCAGTGTTCATAGCAGCATTATTTACAACAGCCAAAAGGTGGAAACAACCCAAGGATCCATCAACAAATGAATGGATACACAAAGCGTGGTACAGACATACACGGAGTATCATTCAGCCGTAAAAAGAAAGGCAATTCTGATACATGCGAAAACATGGAAGAGCCTTAAAAACCACATGATAAGTAAAATAAGCCAGATACAACAGGCTAAATACTGTATGATTTCACTTACATGAGGTACCTAGGATAGGTAAATTCTTAAAGAAAGAGAGTAGAATAGGGCTACAAAAAAAGAATAGGAAGTAGCAAGGGAGAAATGGGGGTTGTTTAATGGGCAAAGTTTCTACTTGGGATGATGGAAAGTTCTGGAAACAGAGTGGTGATGATTATATAACATTGTGGGTGAATTTAATGCTACTGAATTGTATACTTAAAAATGGCTAAAATGGTAAATTTTATGTATATTTTGCCACAATAAAGTTTAAAAAAACTGCTAAAAAAATGTATATAAATAAAAAAGCAAGTTGATTTAAAGAAATATATTAAGCATATGACAATATAGGTAGAAGGCAGGCCCAGTGAGATAGTCTGAAAATAGAACTTCTTGGAGAAAAAACACCAACTCCTTGTTTTTCTTATCTTCAATTGCTCCCTAAAGCACCCAGGTTCCAAACAGGTGTCCTGCTTCCCGCTTCGGCTTTACACAAACACCTGTTCTTCCAGGAAGCCTGCTCCAACCATCCCCACTAGAAACTTTGCCCTTCTCTGAGGTCAAGCACTGGTTGCCTGGATGGCTCTGTAAGCACTTAATTTATCACCTGGCTTTGGATCACCTGTCTGTACTATTAAATGTATTACTATTATTTTAACTTGAAAAGAAACATCTTGAAAAATAAATTCAATTAACACCGAAGCATATAAAACTAAAAGTGAGAGATAACCTCCCCTCCCCTCCTCCTGCTACTAGTGCTGGGGTCACCAAGTCAAAGGCTTCTGGGGGGCCACACAGTGTTACCAGGGGAGCAGCTTCATCGTGGTGCCTAGGATCTCTGCTGGGCAGAATGTGGGCTGGTGTTAAGAGAGCTGCTTTTTCAAGAGAAGCTAGAAGTTCAGATTTTTACATGAAAGTTCCAGAATTTTATGTAGATTAATAATATTTTAAAATCAAACAACTTTCAATTGTTTTTAAATCAATTCCAATTTTGATAAAATGAAACAAAATGTGTTAGGTACAATTCTCTACATATCAGGCTCTAACAAGCCTAGGAGGAGAGAAAGGTTCTAGTCTGTACCCCATGGCCTCAGAAGAGCCACAGAGGGGATGGTGAAATTTAACAAGTGGTAGGAAGGCAGAGACAGTATTCACAATGTGCTCCAGTGGGGCCTGCCCAGCTGCAGCCAGCTGAGAGGAGTTCTGTAATATTAGGAGTTGAATATACACTTGATGATTTATTTAATACATAAATATTTCCTGAATAATATTTATAACAGTTTCAAATTGTGTTTTAGGTCAGACTATATGGCTTGTTTTACAAAGTTCACTCTACAGCTTAACAGGCAAATTAATCTTAGGTGGGGCTCAAATGTGATACAATTTTAACCATCTAATTCTTTAATATTTTGAAATGGACCTTATTTCCATTCACAAATTCAATTTTGTAACATACCTGTTAATCTCGCTACTCAATATGGATGCTCAAGTTTAAGTTGAAATTCAGGTTTCAATTAAAACAGATATATGCTTTAAAAAAATCCTCAGATGTAAAGGTATCAACCCTAATCTAATAGAATGTTAAAGATGATGCTCACTTTCTAATGACCATTGTATAAACACAAAGGTATGGACATCCACAAACTGAGGACAGCATAGTACAGTGGAGAAAATATAGAATACACAGGGTCAGAGGGAGTGGACACACAACTCAACTCAGCCACTTTCTAGTTCTGTGATGTTAGATATGTCCTGACTTCTCTGGGCATTACTTTCCTCATCTGTAAACATAGGGTGGTGATAATACTCAATCTACTCCCATGGACATCTTGAGGACAATATGAGCTATAGTTTGTAAAGCATTCTGTAAGTTCTACAGGCTAGACAAAGCACGCTTTATTATTCTCAGCTGTGAGAATGGAATCGGGAGCAATAAACATTGTTTAATATTTAATGCTAATTAGAGCCCTGGCTGGTGTGGCTCAGCTGGTTGGAGTGTCGTCTCATACACCAAAAGGTGACGGGTTCAATTCCCGGTCAAGGCACATGCCCAGGTTGCGTGTTCGGTCCCTGGTTGGGGCAAATGAGGGAGGCAACCAATCATCGTTTCTATCACTCTCTCAAGTTAATTAATTAATTAATTAAAAATAAAAGAATGCTAATTAGAGCCTTTCCCTAAGATTATAAAAATGTGCATAAATAACACAACATTGAGCATTCCCATGTCAACCAAAAAGATATATGCTTTAAAAAAAATCCTCAGATAAAAGGTATCAATCCTAATCTAATAGAATGTTAAATAAATTAATGTGATAATGTAAACTTTACTGATAAGAAAGGCACCATAACCATCAGTGTTACTATAATTAAGAACCACCAATAAAAATTGTAATTATGTTAAAAAATGAACAGTTGGGCTAACCTACCTTCCAATTTGCCAGTTTTTTAAACTCTATAATTTTTATAACTGCTCCCATGAGAATACCTAGAAGAGAAAATGTAAGTTTAATATAAATTTAAGGTATGCGAAAGATTACTCAGGTTTATTATTCTAGAGAAACTGAATATTATTATGCCTCTAAATGACTTTTATGGATTTCTGCAAGTTTCATGTCTGAAAACACAAGAATGGAAATCAGTGTGAAGTTTTATGAGTTACATTACTTTCTCCCTTGCATCTTAGGCAAACATACTATAATGAAGTCTACAAAAACCTGGGGGGGAGAAAAAGCTTTACAAAATAGGACCTAAGGGCGGTCTGTGTGACACAGAAGATATAACATCTTTCGTTTTTTTCTACATCCACCCATTTTCAATGTGAAACAGGAGGAATCTTATGAGCTAAGTTTGCCCCTTAGTCCTGCCATTTTCAAGAATGAACCTAAGATCACTTTCTCAGGCTCAGATGGCAGCTCAGTGTAGAGTATTTAGTTAGAGATAAGGTCCCAATGCTGAAAATAACCTAAAGTAAAAATTCTGTGAAATTCCTGGAACAAATCAGACCATCTAAGTTCAGGCATGCTTCCATAAAACTGACAGCCTCATTCTTCTCTCATAAAGTGATTCTCAAACAAGCATCACGGGTACAATTTATGACTGCTGTGTTACTCACTAGGTAAATGATTCTTAACCCTGTTGGCTCATCAGAATCACCATGGGAGCTTTTTATAAATTAAAGACACCAGAGCAGAACACCAGGCCTACTGAATCACGATCTCTGGGCGGGGTGACACAAAGCAAGCCTGAAGACCACTGTCATAGACACTTAACGACAAAGACTCCCCTTTCCCCTACAGAGGAAGGAGCATTCCCCCCTCAACTATGGAAAGCTGAAGAAACACACCTTATTGGGAGGGGTTAGGAGAAAATACTTGAACATAGAAATTTACTGGGAAAAGGAGCCACACTAACATGAATTGCCATGGGGAAGGAGGGACTTGAGGTGAAGAGAGGAGATGAGCAATTTTAAATTTATAAACCTCTATACTATTTGAATTGTTATATATTATTAAAAGAGTAATAAAATTACTTTGAAAAAGAGACCAAGACAAAAGAGATCTGAGCTATAAAGGGAGTCAATGACCATATTTGCAGAATAGGAGCTGTAAGATGTACATTCACTTGCCAGATGGCAGGAAAGTGCTGATTCTAACTCCTCTCCAGCCAGAGCTCCCCAACTGCTCCTTTTTCCTTACCTCTTCAAATTGCACGTACATTTTAAGGAGTTTTATACACATTTTTATTAAGCAAATAGTTCATTAATACTTTGTAAAATGTTATGAAAAAGACAAAAATCCCTTTTGATGAGATCCCACCCTCCACTCTCATCTTAACTGTCTTCCTGCCCCAAGGTAACCAACCATCTTGATAGGTTTGGGGAATATTCTACCAGACCCTTCTCTACTCCCTTACATTTATATTTAACCATACAGTCCTAGTGTGTTTGTGTGTGCGTGTACACACAAGGCACACCCGTGTGTATTTATGTAAAATTTACAGTGCTGTAATGTATCTTTCTATTTGCTATTTTGCTCAGTGTTAAGTCTTGATCTATATGTAATAATATATCAGGGATTATTACATGCAGATCTGCCTCATTCCTTTTAAGAGCTCTATAGCATAACATAAAAATGCCACAGGTTGAATAGATACTCCTGCAAAGGAGATATACAAATGGCCAACAAGCACATGAAAACATGCTTAACATTAGTCATCAGGGAAATGCAAATCAAAACCACAATGAGATACCTCTTCATATCCACTAGGATAGCTATAATTTTTAAAATGTGGAAAACAAGTGTTGTCAAGGCTATAGAGAAATTGGAACCCTCATATATTGCTGGTGGGAATGTAAAATGGTGCAACTGCTGTGGGCAAACAGTTTGGCAGTTCCTTGAAAAGTTAAACTGAGTTACCACAGGACTCAGGAGTTCCACCAAGACAACTGAAAACAAACTTTCCTACAGAAACTTGTACGTGGATGTTAGTCAACAGCATTGTTCATAACAGCCCAAAGGTGGATACAGCCCAAATGTCTATCAACTGATTAACGGATAAAAAAATGTGGGCTATCCACACAATGGAATATTATCTGGGAATAAAAAGGAATGAAGCACTAATTCATGCTGTAATGTGAATGAATCTTGAAAACTTGCCAAGTGAAAGAAGCTAGACACAAAAGGCATATTTTATGATCCATTTATATGAAATATCCAGAATAGACAAATCTATAGAGACAGAAATGATTGCCTAGGACTGAGGAGTGGGGCTTTGGGGGCAATAGCTGAAGGGCATGGGGTTTCTTTTTGGGATGATGAAATGTTCTACAGTTGATTGTCAATTCTGTGACTATACTAAAAATAACTGAGTTGTACATTTTAAATGGGTAACTTGTATGCTATGTGAATTATATCTGAATAAAACTGTTATAAAAAATGACCACAGATTGTATGATTCCACTTATGTGAAATGTCCAGAACAGGCAAATGTACAGAGACAGAAAGCTGGTTAGCAGTTGCTGAAGGGGAAAGGGGGAAGTGGGGAGTGACTGCAAATGGGTAGAGGGTTTCTTTTTGGAGTAATGAAAATGTTCTGGAGTTACATGGTGGTAGTGGTTGCACAGCCCTGTGACTATACAAAAAAGCAGTGAATTGCACACTTGGAAATTGTGAAGTTTATGGTATGTGAATTACATTTTAATTTATTTAAAAGTCACATTAAAAAAAATGTTTTTACTGATTTTAGAGAGAGAGGAACGGAGAGGGAGGGAGAGAGGGACATCAATGTGAGAGAGAAACATCAATCAGTTGCCTCCTGCACCCTGACCGGGGTAACCCACAACTTGGGTATGTGCCCTGACCAGGAATCTAACTGGCAACCTTTCGATGCATGGAAAGACGCTCAATCAACTGAGCCACGTCGGTCAGGGCAAAAAGTCACATTTTAAAAACTATTCCCCTAATGATGGCTGTCTCCAACTGTTTGCTATTAACAGTGGTACTGCAATGAACATGCTTGTGCATGCCTCTTGTGTAACAGTGCTGCCCTAAGGTGGATCAAGAGACAATGAATGGCATGAGCTTTTTTAAATCTCTGAAAATGCTGCCAAATTGTCCTCCAAAGTGGCAGTACCACTTTCCACTAGAGCAATCCCCACATCCTCACCAACCCTGGATAATCATCAGACTTTAAATATTTCTGCCAATATGGTGGGCAAGAAGTTGTACTTTAAGGTTTCAATTTGCATTTGCAGTCAATCTGCCTGCAGTAATCATTCCTGAATACCAGGAAAGCTGAACCTCTTTTTGTGGTTTCAGATTTCACTTTTAAAGCTAGCATTTTTCTGCTCTACTAAAACCTCAACTTTCATTTTCCCTTGTAAATGTACACCAAACTTTAATACCATGATTAACACATATTACATATGAAGCAGTAACATTTGAAAATCAGTAATAATTCTATTGCCTAAGCTTGTTTTTATATTATTATTTATGAGGCACTAGAAAGCTTTGTAAAATATATTATTACTACTATTAATATTATTATTATTACTTGAGTAAATAATCCTTTTGAGAAGTCCTAGGACTAAACTATGGTGCAGTATTAAATTGGCAAACTATTCCTTTACATTTTGAGATTGAGGTCCAATGTTAGGAGAAATTAATTTATGCCACACAACTGGCCACCAGGTGGAAATAATTGTATATTCCTATCAGTAAAAAGAATTGAGCATGCATTTTCAAGTTACAAATGCTAATTATTATAAAACAGTGTTACTATATTAATGTATTTTAAAATATACACAAAAAATAGAAATTATAAAACAGTGAGATTAAAATGAAATAGAAACATAAATCCTACTACTATTTTCTGTTGCCTCCCAATGGATTTTTGTACACACACCTCATTATGGACACTACTGGATTAAACCAAACATTGGGAGCAATTAATAATTATTTGTTGAGCCTCTTTTCCCAGGATTTGTCACTTTAACTTATTTCTAATCCTCAAGAGAATGTTGCACGTAGGAAGGCTCAGAGAGTTTCAGAAGCTTGTCTGACAGTTGAGGGCCAGTAAGTGACACTAATTGACTACTGGCTCCTGGGTACATTCTGCCACCTCATGATGCTGGTCTACCAGGACATTGTAAAATATTAGTTTTCCTGATAATTAACATTACAGGAAAAATGCTTAAAATGCATTCAGTGTTATAATCGGGTTACAAAACAGCATGTAGAACATGATCCTAGTTCCCTTAAAGTATATATATATACACACATATTTATCTGCACTGTGTTAAAAATAAACACACAGACACACAGTGCCAGGCACTATGCCAATGTATAAAATATACTTAGTTCATTCCCACAATTAGCCTATAAGGTAACCAACCATAATAATAAAGATGATAATATTAATGACAGCAGCTAACAGTTGTTGATTACTTAGCAGGTAGGCAGCATACTAAGGAATTCCATGTATTACCCTGTTTAGTATCTGCAATCCCATGAAGTGAAGGCATTATCACCTGCATTTTACAGATAAGGAAACTAAGGCTAAGGCCCAACCTCACTTAGCTAGTAAACAGCAGATCTGAAATTGTTTTAAAAACAAGTTATTTTATTTTTATTTGATTATGTAACAGATGCATATAGTACAAAATTTAATATGATGGTGGACTCCACATGGTCCTACACCACATACCACACCATCCAGAAGCTGCCAGCCAGCCCAAGTGGTAAGATGGCCTCTTAAAGATGGAGCTGAGGCACCGGCTTAGAGCTGACATTCTGTGAGGAATAGAGCTCTCCTCTAGGATGCTGTATACTCCTTAAACCTATGGCCATTATAAGGTGGTACGTCCCCAACAGGTAAGCATGTGGACAGCACATAATGGGTAGGAGTGGCCCCACTCAACATCACTCTTAGGGGCTCATGTGGGAGTAGGGATTCCTACTTGGGGAATTTCTGCTCCTTTAGCCTGAA